AGACCTTCTCTGCCTCCCCCCTGGGCGCACCGCCGAACCAAACCGAGCGCTCACAGGCTCCTATAGGCTGTCCACGAGAGCGAACACCAGAACGACAAGCAGATTTCAGTCCACGACAACTTGAAGATGTTTGCTTGATCGAGCTGCTGCCAGGCAGAAGTGAACGGCTTGAGTTTGGGTGTGCCTCCACCCCTGGGCGCGCCGCCGAATCAAATCCGCGCGGACCTCTGGAATTGTATGTCTAAGCCGCTCTTCTCCTCCAGCCTCCGAGCGGTTGCAACCGAAACTGATAGCAAGGATGCAAGCCACCTGGGCGCCCGTGCAGAAGGCTCTTTCGAGCGGGGCTGGCCGTCGAAAGTGGCCAAGGATGGACCGAATACACAAGGATTTGGCGGCGAGCGCGGGGGGGAGGGAGAAGGAGAAGGCCTTCTCAGAAGGCGGCGGCATAAACCCTCGCGCCTTCTCAGACATTTTCTGTGTCTTCGGGGGAAGCTTAGACAATTTCTCAGAAGGCCAGGGGACTCCCGAGCCTTCTAAGAAGGCCTTCTCCTTCTCGCTTCCCCCCCTCGCTCGCCGCCGAAAGGTTACAAGGGCAGCCTTGGGAAGGTTACCCATCCCTGCCCATCGGTTTCGACTGCGTGGCGGGGCGGACCAGATCGCCCCCTGCGCCCTGCGCAGCCCCCGCGCCTCGCTGGCCGCTGCCTGCCCGGCCCTGCGACTCGCCGCGCAGGGGGGCACAGGGCGGCCGCCGAGCCTCAGGAGCTCGCCGACCTCAGGCTCTGGCCGACCCTCAGCACACCGCCCGCCGGAGCTCGCCGACCTCAGCCAGCACCTCGCAGGCCCTCAGCACACCGCTTCCAAGATCTCGCCGACCTCGGGACCTCGCCAACCCCCAGCGCACCGCTGCAGAGTCGCGCCGACCTGAAGACCTCGCCGACCATCAGCACACCGCCCGTCGGAGCTCGCCGACAGACCTCAGGACCTCGCCGACCCTCAGCACACCGCCCGCCGGAGCTTACTGACCTCCCCCTGCGACTCGGGAGGTGGCGGAGCCGGCGTCGCAGGCTGGCCACTGCGGCCCACGACCTCCAGGGCGGTCCCTCTGGCGTCGGCCTGGCGCCGAGCCTCCCCGCCCTCCCCCCTACGCCCCGCCGGAGGGCCGGGGCCGTGCGCTGCGCGGCGTCTACAGAGTCGCTCAGCGGCATCCGCAGATGGCCCTTGCCTCCACTGCGGGGCAGGGGCGTGCACGGACGGGGGTTTTGCCCTGTCCCCGGCGGCCAGAGGAGGGCCTGCCCTTGAGACTCCGGGTTTGGGATCCCGGGCCCGCTGTGGGAGGGGCCGCGCGACGCGCCGGGCTCCTTTGCGCGCGGGGCTCCTTGACGTTCGTGCCTTCCTCCCTGCGCCCCAATCTACACTGGTTGTGCAGCGATCTGCCGACGCCTGGTTGCTGGCTCCCCTTCCGGGGGGGGAGCTTGGGCATAAGGCGCGCGGACCCCCGCTGGTGTGATGCGGCTCGCGCAAGGGATGCGGCTGCGGAAGGGGGTGTCCCGTATTGCGGGGGGTTCGGTTCCTCGTCGTCTTCTTCTTCGAGGAGCTCGCCCAAAGCTAGTCTGTATAGTTTACTTCCCGCTGGCGCCGAAGCGTGTCAATTATATGACTTTTCAGTGTGACAACTGATATCCCTGACTGCGGTTAGCGACTTAGCCACCGCCTTCGACTCGGGAGGGGACTTGCTTTCCCTCTGGCACACAAGCGGGGGCCAGGACCAGTGCGGCGGCCAACAGTCTCCTCCTCTGCTGCTGGTCGCCCTGCCTGGCTTTTTCACAGCTGGTTCTTCCCCGGAGCTGCCACGGGGCGGCTCTCTAGGGTGGCATCTTCTTGACCCCCGACTGCGTTCTCGGCCTCCGGCCGAGGGCGTCTCCGGCATAGGCACCGCGTCGCCATCAACCACAGCAATCCGCTGGAGGGCCGAGCCCGTGGGCCTGCAAAATGTCACAGGGCTCCCGAAACCAGAACATTGCTGTCCGGGACTTTGAATCTTTTTTTGGCCCGCGGGGACTCCAGCTGCAATGCCGGCCCGGTGCAACAGGCCCAAGAAGAAAGGCACCAGGTGCAGCGAAACGCAGCTGGAGGCCAGGACTTTGAACATTCCGACTGGAAGGGACGAAAAAGGAGAATGTGTGTTCGACCCACTGCTGTAGTGCTCTCTGGCGCGCCACCGATCTGGTTCGCCGGGACGTCCCCGTGGAGGGGGCCCCGACGATGGCCCTGCAGGCGGCGGGGTCGCCGGAGACGGCGGCCTGCGCCAGGGCCTCGCCAGCCGCCGCTTGGGCAAAGCGGGTGCGGCGGGTGCGGGCCCAGCGGGCCGCCGCCAGGGGCCCGAGCAGCAGCCGCAGCGGGCCCGCGCTGCCGTGGTGGACCGCGGCGTTGGCGCACCCCGCGGACGCGACCCTCCGCGCTTACGGTGCGCCGCGGCCCTGCGCCCGCGAAGGGCGCTGGCCGCGGACTGGGGCCTCCGCCCTCCCGAGCGGGCCGTCTGGTGTCGAGCGCCAGGCCGAGGCCTGCGCCCGCAGGCTCCGCCAGGTGCGCAGCGGCATCAGGGGTTGGCACGTCAAGGCGGCCGTGGGCTCGCGCAGCTGCCGCACCTCAGCCCTCGCGCCCGAGCCCTTCGGTCATGTGCCGAGGGGGCGGACAACGTCGGAAAGACTGAGCCGCTGCGGCTTGAGCCTACGTGGCTACGGGAGGATGGCATGGGACGCGGAAGGAGGGGGGGCAGGAGGGGAGCAGGGGAGTGGCAGGGGAGTTTTTTTTTTTGACAACGTCAAGTAGTGTGGCTGGCGGCACTGCAGGTGCCTCAGATGAAAACTGCTACAGGGTACCACGACGAGCAGCACGACGGGCCCAGCCTGTGCGGCTATGGACAACGGGGGTGCCGCATCCACCCCCGACCCAGCCCAGCTCCAGGAAGAAGCATTCCAGGAGCGAGACGAGCGAGTCAGCGTCCGACAATCGCCGCCGCTCGCTTCAGCAGGGCGGCCCGCACCTCGAGCTCCTCCGCAGACGCGCCGAAAGAGGAGAGGGAGGCCGCCGATTCGGCGGGAGCCGAAGGCCGCGCCGCCGCCACCTGCGAGGGCCCAGGCAACGAGGCGGCCGCCGCACCGCTGGCCACCAGCGCCACAAGCGCCGCTGCCGGCTCCGCCGCCGCCGCCGCCGCAGCCCGGGCTGGGCGCGCCGACCGCCCCCGCGCCGAAGGGCACTAGGCCGAGTCAGCCCAGGAGTCGTCCTCGAGATCCGACACCTTGGCATCGTCCCGCGAGGAATCCACGACCATGGCGTCACCGTCCAGGGGGCGCCCGCCGCCGCCAGGCACCACGGCAGCAGCAGCCACCGCACGCGCCTCCGCAGGCGCCTGCCCGCCGCCCGCGGCTCGCCGCCGAGGGAGGGCCCTCAGCAGCGCCAGCAGCGCCTTCGTGAACACCACGATCTTGTCGAGGCTGCTCCTCGACACCGCCCGTCGTCGCGGGCGCGCACAGCGTCGGCGCGGTAGCAGCGAAAGCTGCGGCTGACAGCGCCGAGCGCGCCACGGCGGCGACGGTGCGCCGAGGGCCGCCACCGTCCACGGCCGCCCGAAGTGCCGCTGTCACCAGCGGCGCGAGGTCCTGGGCCGTGAGAGCTCCTCTAGCCCGCGCGGCTCCTGCCATCCCAGGGACGGCGCCCGAGGCAGGCATGCAACCGCTTGAACCAAAATGCGTCTCGAGCCAAAATGGCTACGGAAGGGGAGGATGGGGGGAGGGGAAGGGAAGTGGGAGGAGTGAGGAAGGGAGGGAAAGGAAGGGGAGATGCGGGAAGGGAGTGAGGGAGGGAGAGCAACAGGGAGGACACGCGGCGAAGGGTGTGAGGAAGGACCCAGAACTCCAGCATCGGTCGTGATTTCGCATGGACCCTCTGAAGACAAGACCGGTGTTTCGTCCCGGCCCGTTTTTTGCCACCCCTGGGGCCCGCTGAGGGCTCCTAGAGGCCAACAAAGGCAAACGGCCTCCAACCGTCTTTACCTTTTCACCACGCGAGGAGGTGGGGGGGAGGGAGAGAGAGGAAGGCCATGGTGGGCGCAATCCGTCTGGCGGGCGGCGCCACCGGTCTTCGCGCAGCGCTCGGACCGCCGGGTACTAGCTCAGGACCGCCTAGGACATATCCGCCATCGTGCTCTTGCGGCACGAGTTGGGGTGTCCTCAGGTCCCTTGCCCTATCTCCAGAAGCCTCGATTCTCATCAATCCTGAAGATTCTTTAGAAGTGGCCCGGACTCCAAGAGGCCCCCGAGAGGTCTCCCACGACACCCCATGCAGCGAACAATATCCTGGAGGCCTCCGACCCTCAACCCTGGCACGGTGGCGGGGTGGGCCCACGGCCTTTAGATAGGCGCCGCGGACGGCGACTGGAAGATGGAGCGCGCCGCGGAGGCGTGCGGACCAAGTCTCGCGGGCGAAGGGCTGTCCTGCGCGCAGCGGGCGCGGAGCAGACACATTGGCCTGTCCACGCCGCGGGCCTGGCGGGGCCCCCAGAATCGGCTACGCGCAAGAGTGACCCTGGTGACCTTTGGTGCGCGGGGGGGTCGAGGGGGGACAAGCCCAAGCGCGCCAGCAGCTGCTGTCGAACCGCACTCGGCCATCGGGGGGCCCAGTGGTAAGACGAAGCCAGGACGAGGATACATTCAGGTGAGGATGAATCGAGAATCTCTGAGATCCGGCGGCTCTGGAGGATTTGTATCAGGCGCCGCGGCCTTCTCAAAGCGTTCTGGAACGCTCTGAAAGCGTTCCAGAACTCTCTGGAAAGGATTTATCTCGTCCTAGCCCCGCCCGAAGTGGGCGCAACAAACGTCACTCTAGCGAAAGGTAACTCTTACTCTACGCGTAGCCGATGGGAACCGCACGGAACAGAGGACGCCAGGCTCCCGGCGCCGCGCCCCCTCGGCTGAGCGGGGCGCGCCCTATCTGCAGACCCCTCAGAAATCGAGCAAGTTGCCCGTGGCCGGCGCCGCCGTGGCGGCACCCAGACCGAGGCCCTGCGACCCGGACACCTTGGGCGGCGGGGCGCGGGCGAAGTCCGCGAAGTCCTCCCCGAAGCTCAGCAGATCGCCGCCGCCTCCCTGCGCCGGCGGGGCAAAGCCGCCGCCAGCCGCGGGCGCCAGCGCGGCCTGCGGCGCCGGTGGCCCCGCGCTGAAGTCGGCGAAGTCGGCGGCCCAGAAGGCGCCGTCCTGCGCCGCACCCGCCGGCACCGCCGCCGAAGGCGGCTGGTGCACGAGCGCTGGCGCGTCGAAGCCGAGCAGGTTGCCCTGCTGCGCCGCTGGCGCAGACACGTGCCGCACCGCCGGCGCAGGCGCCGGCGGCGCGTCGCCACCGATGAACGCCAGCAGGTCGCTGTCGTTCACGGCGGGCGCGGACTTCCCCCGCGCCACCACCTGCGGGGCGGGCGGCGCAGGCGCGCCGCCGAAGCCCAGCAGGTCGTCCATGGGCGGCGCGGGCGCCACCGCCCCAGAGCTGGGCCGCGCGGGCTGGCTGCCCGAGAGGTCAAAGGCCTCTTGGGGGCAAAGCAGAATTGCCCACACCGCCACTCCACGGGCCTCTCCTGGGGCGCGCTCTGCCAAGGATTCCGAAGCGTACCCAGCCGTGGTGAACGGGTCTGGAGGCGGCCAGGGGTTCTGAGCTGGCTGGGGCTCCAGAGAAGTCGGTCAGGAGGGGGGATGAGCCAAATCCGTTCAAAATCGGACCCCGGGACCCATCTGGTGGAATTTTCCACCCCCATGTTCCGCGGTCGCGGGGCCAGGAAACGGACCCTGGAGGCAGAAAAGTACGAAAAGCTCTGTCGCGCCCAGAACCTCGAACCTGCCCGCCCCTCCTGCTGGCCAGAACCAGTGCTGGGCCACCTCAGACCTCCAAACGGCTTCAAAGAATGGCGTCGGTACCCATACAGTGGAGGCCCATCCACAAGAAACCGTCCACAAGAAACCCAACCCTGAGACCCCAGGACGTTCATCGATTTTTGGTGTGGGAGCGTCGCGCCTTCCACAGCAAAACCATCGAAACCCAAGAAACCAAGGGCACCCTGGAGGCGAGTAGGGTGTTCCTTGGCATGGGCCCCAGCTGTATCTTGTCCTCCTCGGAAGGCCACGCTGGAGCCCCGCTGCTGCGCCAGGCCGGCCGGCGGCGGCGAGTCCGCGCCCGCGCCACCGGGGGTCCTCCGGCCTGCCGCGGGCCGGCCCTTGCCGGCGGCGAGCGCCCTCGCCATCTCAGGAGTGATCTCCTGCGAGGCGGGGGTATGTCTTCATTTCGAATATTTACATTTACACATACTATATAGATATGTATATGCATGCATTCATGCCTGCATTGATGTCTGTCTGTCTGTCTGTCTGTCTGTCTGTCTGTCTGTATGTATGTATGTATGTATGTATGTATGTATGTATGTATGTATGTATGTATGTATCGGAATTCTTGTATGTACATATGTGTATATGTGTATATATAAGATTGACGCACCGCCCGTGGAACCGACGTCCTAGGAGTCCAGCGGGGAGTGGATATGGATCGAGTTGTACACATTGTGCCAGGCCAGACTTGAACTCGCCATGTGCGCCGAGAGAGGTCGCAGAGGCAACTCCATCGTGCACCACGGTGGTGCCGGCTGGTACGAGACCAGCCGCGTCGTGGGCAGACGTTCCATGATGTCTTGGCCGCCGCGTGTCGAACCCGAAGAAATTGCGCCGCGTTGAACGGCTAACGCTTGCAAACACAAAAAATTGGCCCCAGAGGGGCCGAAGATATCCGGATCCACCGCCTGTCGAGGTCCGCGAAGGTCCATCCCCGCATTGGTTATGGATAAATTCCCGCCTCAGAACTCCTCGTCCGCCGCGGAGCCCTGCCGCGCCTGCTTCGCCGCGGTGTCGGCGAACTTCCGCTGCTTCGCCTGCACCGACGGCGGCAGCCAGCCGAAGAGCTCCTCGGAGAGAGGAAGAGAAGCAGGACGGGGATGAGGAGGAGGAGAGGAGGAGGAGGACAAGGTGGAGAAGGAGAATGAGGAGAAGGAGGACGGAGGAGGAGTACGGGGAAGATGATGATGAGGAGGTGGAGGAGGACAAGGAGGAAGACGGGGAGAATAAGGAGCAAGAGGAGGGGGAGAGGGAGAGAGATAAGTATGTAGGAGGAGGGGGAATGGGAGGGGGATGAGAAGGGGAAGGAGGAGAAGGAAGAGGAGGAGGAGGAGGAGGAGAAGGAGGAGGACGTGGAGGAGGAGGAGGAGGAGGAGGAGGGCGAGGAGGAGGAGGAGGAGGATGAAAAGAAGGACGGAGAGGAGGGGGAGGAGGAGGAGGAGGAGAAGGAGGAGGAGGAGGAGGAGGAGGAGCAGGAGGAGGAGGAGGGCGAGGAAGAGGAGGAGGAGGAGAAGGACGGTGATGAGGAGGAGGGGCTCCTCGTACCCCGTCTTCGGGAGATCCCTGATGACGTCGCAGAGCCGGGCGCTCGACGGCCGGTCGTTCGGATCCGGCGCCAGCAGCCAGTGGATCAGGGCGCAGAACTTCGGGCTCTTGGCCATGTCGTGGTCGGTGGGGATGAAGAACCTCACGAGCGGAGTAGATATTCAGACATCCAACGCATTAATCAAGACGGAAATGTTGCGTCGTGGTCGGCGTCTGGGGGACCTCGCAGTGCCCCCAAACCGTCAACGAAACGATGCAGGACAAAAAAACAGTCCAGGGAAGTAGTCCAGAGCTCCGCGGACCAAGAATCAAGAAATCGGATGTCTGGGTATCCGCATCCGCGCCCTCGCGATCTGAATTCTGGGTCGCGATCCCGCGGACACGCGGTCAGATGGATACGTTTCGCAGGGCATCCACTAGAAAGCACCAATATCCATGGGGTCGCGGCCCAGGGGCCCGGCCGGCGAGGCCGTGGATACGGATATGCATCAGATATTTCCCGCCCGCGAGAACCTCGCGTTCTGGATGCCCGCGGGGCTCGCGTTGTCCTGGAATGGGTGCATGTAGAAGGCCAGCGTGAACAAAATGCACCCGATCATCCAAAGGTCGACCAGCTCAGTGATGGCGTAGCCGTTCCGGAAATTCAGCTCGAGATCCACCATTTCGGGAGGCCTGTACAGCATCGTCACCGTCTTGTCGATGTCCTCCTGGATTGCCATGATCTGCGCGCGGCTCATCTCCTTGGCCGGCACGCTCTCCACACTGCAGGATCCGAAATCGCAGAGTTTCCAGCTGCCGTCCACGGCCTTGAGCACGTTCTCCACCTTCAGATCGCGGTGCTGGATCGGTGGCCTCTGCGAGTGCATGTGCCTCACCGCGGAAGCGATCTGTGCGAGCGGCTCCATGATCTCCTTCGCGGCCAGCTTGCCGTTCTTGCGGTCCATGTAGTCCATCAGCGTGCCGCCGGGGCAGAGCTCCAGCACCAACTTCACGACCCCGTTGCCAGTCCCGGGCACCCGCTCGACGGAGTGGCCCACGCACTGGATGATGTTGGGGTGCGCCGGCAGGCCCCTCAGGACCTTCGCCTCGAGCTCCGCGGCCCGGAGAGTGCTGGCAACCTGCACGCCCTCCTGGCAGTGGATGACCTTCATGGCGTACTCCTTCCCGGACCTCTGGTCGCGGCACTTCAGCACCTCCCCGAAGCCCCCCTCCGCGAGCCGACAGACCGTGACAACCGCGAGGCCGTCCTGGGAGATCCAAAAGATACGACACCGCTACTCTCCTGACCTCTCCCAGGGTACGATCGGACCAGAAACGAGGCAAGGGTAGCGGCATGGGTACCTTTTCCTCCTCTGAAGTCCTGGAAGGTGTGCGTGGACGCGGTGAAGCTGCCCAGGTTCTCCTTGAGCGAGGTCTTGACGGCCTTCGCCCCCTTCGCTGCCAGGCCCGCAGCCGCCGCCGCGCCCACGGAGGCAGCCTCCGACGCCTGGGACACGAGGCTGCTCCCCCACTGGCCCAGCCTGGGACGAGGGGGAACGTCGGCTACACGCAAGAGTGACCTCAGGCAAGAATGACCTCTGGTGCGCAACTGAACGGGGGACGCGGGGTGGCCAGACCTAGGCGCGCAGGCCGCTGCTACCGCTTCGCGCTCGCCGATCGGGGGACCCTGCTGTGTCCGCATCAAAGGCCACTCTGGCGAAAGGTCAATCTTACGTCTAGTCGAGAACATGAGGGGGGGGGAACATCAACCTTGAATCGGCGATGCATCGCCGACAGATCGGCGATAGGCTCCCGATAGCGAGACCTCACGCTCCTCGGCGGGGTGGGCCATCGGGCCTCTATCGTCGAAGCATGGGCGATCGGGGGTCGACGCATCCCACCCTGACCCTGTCTTCCTCCTAACGCTGCCCCTGATGGAAGACGCCGACTGTCCACTCCGTACCGCGACCCTGGCCGGATCAATTTTGGGCACCGACGCCGGACAGGAGGAGGAGGAGGAGGAGGAGGAGGAGGAGGAGGAGGAGGAGGAGGAGGGGCAGGGCGGGGGAGGTGGAGGAGGGGGATGAGGACGGGTAAGTCCAAGACCCACCAACGATGTTGAAAAACACCCTCCCTCCAAGATCCCTCTTCATAGGCCCCTATAAAAGGGGGTCGTTTCCACTGACAAAATTGCTCCGTCCGGGGACAGCCGTGTGAACATCTTGAAGCTTGCCAGAACACCATTCTCAGGACATTAACGCCACGAGTTTACCTTACTGTTACGTCGAGCCTGAATCGTTCGTGCCAGGACACCATTCCTGGGACTTCAACACAGAGATTCAACGTAACCGTTGTGCCCTGGCAATCCTGAATCGTTCCGAAAACACAATCTGGTGGCTTAACCATGAGAATCAACGAAAATCTTGCAATTGTTTAAAACAAATGAGCGTGGCGCTACGGCGAGAACCACATTTTGAAAACCACCCGCCAAAAATCCGTGAACCCCTTGCAGTTGTTTAAACAGAATGTGCGCAGCGCTGAAACGAGAACCACATTTTGAAAACCACTAGACCTCAAATTGTGAACCTCGTGCAACTATTTAAAACGAATGTGCGCGGCGCCATAGCGAGAGCTACATTTTGAACACCACCCGCGTTCAATCCGTAAAACTCTTGCCAATGTTTACAACGAATGTACGTGGCGCTAAAACGAGAACCGCAAAAAAACACCCGCCCTCAAGCCGTGAAGCACTTGCAACTGTTTAAAACAAGCGAGAACCACATGTTGAAAACCACCCACCCAAAATCTGTGAGGCCCTTGCAAATGTTTAGCGCGAATGTGCGCGGCGCTGAGGCGAGAGCCACATTTTGAAAACCACCCGCCCTGAATTTGTGAACATGCTGCCAATGTTTCAGCATCTCAGGGTCATAAGCTGTTTGGAAGTCTCAAGCGAAACGCCCGGCCCGCCCTTTCGACCGGCCTCGGGGTGCGACAGGGAGGAAGTATCTATAAGGAAAAGGGATGGAGGATGGGAGAGGAGGAGGATCCTCCTCCTGGAAGGGCAGTAGAGTGGACAGCTGGCCCTCCCCCCCGACGGGCCCAGAGAACGCGTCCATGCCCCCCGGCGCGGGGGGGGCCGCGCGGACGCGGGGGGCCCAGGGGGCTTGCCGACCAGCCTCAACCGGGAGAGCAGTGTTCTCCAGCCCCCTGGGGGACGCCTTGTGTTGACGATCTCTCGAGCGGGGTGCTGAAGCCGATGGGCCCCCCAGGGGGGCAAAGAAGGACTACAGCTTCCTCGGTTGCCGCTCGTCTGGCTCGGCCCCCCCTGGCGGCAGCGAGCCCCCGAGCTGAAATGGCTGCGGCAGGGCTCGATCTAAACGATGTTTTTCGTTATCGTCTTATTTTTGTTTTCCTTCGTTCTGTCTTCGTTCTGCCTATGCTGCGAAAAGAAATGCGCCGAGGAGGTACAGTTGGGCTGTTGAAACAAGGAACGCTAAACAAGGAACGAAGCCGCTTTTGAGCACCAAAGGCGCCCGCGTGCACGAGGAGGGCCAGAGGAACAGCCATGGAAGGACCTACGGAACAGCGAGCTCCTTCCGAACCCACAGCTGTCGTTATTTCAGCGTCGTGACTGTAGACCTGGAACAGGAGGGGTACCGCATCATGGTCCGAAGCATGTGCGCGGACGAGGGCGGGGGGGGCCAGAGGAGTCGAGCAGCAAAGGACAACGTTTGGGGGGGGACCGGCCCATCGTCGGGGGGAACATGGAGCTGGACTCGGCGATACATCGCCGGAGATCGGCGACAGGCACCCCGAGAACGATCCAGCGCGTTCCTGGGCGGGGCAGTCGATCGGGCCCATATCGGCGATCAATGGGCGATGCATCCCCCTGAGCCTGCCCCCCCCTTTAACGATGCCTCGGGCTTGTAATTTACGGGCGATCTCTCGGGCCTCAGGTGGCCGTTCGGGGCGATTCGGGCACCCCTGGAACGCTCTCGACGAGGCGCAGCTGATGGAAACCATCCCGGGCCCCCGGAACCTGCGAGAACCTGCGAGAACCTGCGAGAACCTACAAAACCTCCAAAAACCTCCGCAAACCTCCAAGAAGATCAGAGAACTTCCAAGAACCTTCGAGAATATCCGAAAACCTCCCGAGGCAGGCCGTCGCCGCCGCGCCTCTCCAGCCGGCGCCGCCTCTCCAGGGCCTCGGCCGCCGCTGGCGACGGGGTGTCGGCCTCGGGGTCCGACGCCCGCGCGGGGCCGCTGGCGGGGCTGTCCGCGGTGGAGGCACCTGCGGCGGGTCGTCGTCGTCGTCGTCGTCGTCGGCGGCGGCGGCGGCGGCGACGGCCACATCGCCGTCGCCCTCCTCGTCGCCGACGCCGACGCCGTTGCCGCGCCTGTCACCGCCGCCGCCGTTGCCGTCGAGTGCGGCAGCGTCGACGTCGTCGTCGCCCTCCTCATCGTCCAGGGGCCCTCCTCCTCTTGCCGACGGTGCTGCCGCCGCTGCTCCCCCTTCTTCTTCCTCCTCCTCCTCCCCCATCCCATATCAATGACTCCTCCCTGTCGCGTCCCCAGACGTGCTGGCAGGGCAGGCCTTTTTTATGATATTGAAGTTTGGAACTTACAGCAGTTTTAAAGATGGCGGGCGGAAGAGTTTCAAACTGTAGCGTTCGCCTGAGCAGCGCGCACATTCATTTCGAAATGTTGTAGCAGTTGCAGGGATAGAGGACACGTGAGTTTTTAAATGTGGCTCTCGCCTCAGCGTCGCGCACAATCGCCTTGAAAGTTTGCAGCAATATCAAAGATGGATGGCGGTTCCTTTTCAGAACGTGGCTCTCGCCGTAGCGCTGTGCACATTGGTCATGAAAGTTTGCAACCGTTTCAAGGCATTGTATGGTTGAAGTCCCATAAATGGTGTTCTGGGATCATTTAGCACCGTCAGGGCGCAATGGTCATGTTGATACGCAGTGTTTTAATCCCAGGAACGGTGTTTTGCAACGAGTTAGGAATGTCAGGATGCAACAGTCGCGTTGACTCGCGGCGCGGACATCCCAGAAATGATGTTTCAGCACGATCAAGGACTATCTGACGATTGCCTTCCACTAGTCCACCTCCGCCCACAGGGCTGGTGGGATTTTTTGACGGCTCTGGGGCTCGGCGGGCCAATGGAGGCGGGGGAACAGGAACACATACGGGCACCGCGGCGCCCTTTGGACCTGGACCTCTCCCACGCTCTGATCAGCATAACTTCGGGGCGGATTCAGATGTGGCGACGAGGGATGGATCCCGAGGGCGCCCAAGAGGGGGCGTCCAAGAAGGGGCTCGCAAATGATGACCCGAGGCACGTGCGCGGCCCAGGGGGGGGCAAGGGACGCATTGAAATAACAGGAGGGGGCCATGAGATCTGAGAAGATGTATCATGGCCCCCGCCATCAGATCCACCCCCCGCAATCATCACCTCCTCATTCACACCCCCGAAATTCGCGGCATCGGTACCCCTTTCCCTTCTGAGGACGGAGGCGGTGAGAAGAGACAGCTTTCCGGGACCCCTCCCCCCGACGGCGGCGGAGAAGGGCGGGCCTCGCCTCCGCGCGCCGGCGTCCATTCGGCCGTGTGGTCCCCCAGCAGCCGGCTCGGGGACCAGCTCGTGGCCGGGGTGGCGCTCGCTGACCTGCGGGGGGGGGAAGGGCGGGGGGGGGTGGGCTTGTCGTCGTCGTCGCCGTCGTCGCCGCCGCCGTCATCGTCGTCCTCGTCGTCACTATCGTCGTCGTCGTCGTCGCCGTCGTCGTCGCCGCCGCCGCCGCCGTCGTCGCCGCCGCCGCTGCCGTCGTCGTCGTCGTCGTCGTCGTCGTCGTCGTCGTCGTCGTCGTCGTCGTCGTCGACACAGACATGCCAAAGGAAACGCCAGTCATGCGGTCATGCCCCAAAGAGCCAGGGGAAAGACATCGTGCCGTCGTCGACGCTGCCGCAACACTCCAAGTACATGATCGTCGCCGCAACACTCCAACTACATGATCCCCCTTCCTTCCAGCCAAGACGCAAGGCGCACAGCATTTAATCGCCACGCGAATGCCGACTGCACCTGCTCCCCTTCCTCCACCGCATCTTCGCCACCCGTCGCCCGTGGCGGCCCCCGCGGAGGCCGTGACCGTCGCCATCGACGACGGCGATTGTGGTCGACCGTCGGCCGTCCGTCGCCCGCCGCCGCCGTCGACGTCGGCCGTCGGCCGCCCGTCGTCGTCGGAGGTGAAAAATGGAGGACGAAGAGGACGAGGGAGGCGGGGCGGGGGAGATGAGGACGAGGAGAGGGAGAGCGCAGGAGGAAGGCTGGGGAAAAAGGGGGGGAAAGGGCGGAGGAAGGAGGAAAAGGAGGAGGAGGAACTGGAACTGGAACTGGTGAAAACGCGAAGCGTTATAAATGAATTGGGCTGGATCGCGGCCCCTGGCTGCTTCTCACTCTCTCCGAGAGAAAACCTTTGGCCACAGGCCAGAGCCGATCCTGGACAAGTATTATCGGGTGGTGTCCGTGGGGTGCCCTCCACATCTCTCCTTCAAAGTCCGAAATTGGGCACTGGCGGAATACCCACAAACACCACAAAACCACAGGTGAAGATCCGTGTTGTAAAACAGCGCGTGAGAGCTACGAATCCATCCCCCAGCACAATGTATTTGTTTTTGGGCAGGCACCTTAAAAAAGGTTCCGTCGACGGGCTCCAGTTTAAAACACGGGGTTCGCAACCAATCAGCGAAAGCTTTTTGTGTGGCCGAGCCCCTACACACAGTGCGCTGGCGACCGCTATCATTAAAAACAGGTTGAGAGCACAATTGGGCCAGAACCTTGGGGGCAGGCGAAGGACGATGATGTCTTTTTCTTCTCTCGCTGAACTGCCGAGGGCCGGCAGCGATCGCATCCAGATGAGCACGCAGCAACCCCTTCTCGAACAAGTGCCGCTTCGTGCTCAACTTGGGCAGTGCGACATCTGACCTCCTGAGGGAGCCGACTTGCCAGCGCCATATCTCCCGCCGCCGTGTCTGCCAGCCGGTTGCCCTCGATCATCCATGTGAGGATTCGCTGCTCACTGGCTTGTTCGTCCGGAAGATGTGAATTGATGAACAGAACCACAACATGAGCGGCCCTGCGAGTGCCATGCAGATCCTGGCCAATCTTGGCCCACATGTCGACGTCGTTGGCAGCAAGTCGTGGGCGTAGAAATTGCGTCTTTGCCCACCCTTCCGCTACCGCAAAGTGGTCCGTGACATATATCAGCCATCGGAGTGTCATGCAGATGGCCACCTCCAAGGCGGCTAGCTCTCCTCGAAGAACTGTTTGGCGCCTTCCTGGGAGAGCCATTTTGCCTGTTGCACCCGCTCGAAGGGGATGCTTGGCATACGATCGCCACTCCCGCTCTCCGCTGAACGGGCTTCAGTGCGTCAGGTCCACATCGGCATCGCCGCAGATGAGGATGGGCTCGTCGACGGTGCCCTCGCCCACAACCCCTAACACCACTCATCGCGTTAACGTTCAAATTCTATCGCTCTTCCGTGACTGGCTGAGGGGTCGCTCCCCGCGCGTGCGGCATGAGCCCCCTCATCCAACATGCTGGACATTGCTCATGCTGAGCCGTGGCCCCAGGGATGAGGCCATCTGAATCTTGAAATGCCTGCTTGTCTTTATTGCGCGGACAAGTTCAGCGTCTGTGAAGCGGCGCCTCCACGTTCATGCCCCCGACGGCGTAGCATCGAGGGCGCGTCCGAAGCTGGGGGCACCTCCGCCATGAAACGTTCTCGTGGCCAGGTACCTCCGACTGCGATCGCCAGCCTCAGCACCGTCACGGCGTGACCTTCTGGAGCATCCGCCCGCGGCCGAATAAAATGCCGATGCGATTGATGATCTACCCCTTCAGCTGCTCCTTCTCCGCAATAATATACGGCCGCGTCGCGCCGAGGACCCCGCTGGACCGATGTTGTGAAATCGTCGAGAAGATCTGCCGGGCCCCCCGCTCCTGTGAGCTGGTCGTGAGGGAACGGCCACCCGATGTCCTAGCTATTGCACACGTCACCTGGCATATGCCATCGCGAAGGGTGATTTGATCCCATCCGTAGTGTAAAAGAAGTGCGATGGCAGCACTCATAGGCGCACGAACGTGTCTGGGCTTCTTTGCGCGGTCCATCGCATGTAATTTGCCGGCAACCGCTGCCCAAGCCCTATTCGCTGATGGCCTGATTGCGCGGTCCGTCGTCCACAACTTCAGCCACTCTGTCAGGCGTTCGCGCTCGAGTTTGATTGCTGGATCCTGGCCTGGCATCCGCAGGTCTAAAGTGGCGGTCCCGCGCCTCTCGCGCTTGCTGGCCCCGCGAACTGCTGCAAGCCTACTTCGTCGGCGATGCAGGTCGCCTCCGAGCGCGCCGGAAAGTTGATGGCCGTAGTCTGCTGCAGTCTGCGCGCTCACTCGCTCTAGTTTTGACCTGATCTCATACTGTGAACTTGCTCGTACCCTCGTGGAAATGTCAGCGCGCCGTTGAGTCGACTTGACCATGCGTTGCCTCTGCGTTCATCTGCCGCGATTTTTGCCCGCCAATAGATCGATGCCCAGATGCGGTGCCTGCAGAACTGGCTGCAAGAGGCGTCCTCTCTTGCGAAACGCCGCCGTAATCGCCTCGGCCAATCCATGCTGCTAGCAGAACACTCTTGGAAGCAACTGCTAAGCGAGCTTGCGCAAAACAGTCGGGCGCATCTGAAATGGAGTCGACCACGGCGCGAAAAGCCCGTCTCTCGGGGCCCGCGGTGGATTCGCTGAGAGCGTCAACCCAGATGCGTCTTGACGAGAGGATGCGCGGTGGTGGGCCTCTTGAGGATAAAGTGAATACAACATTTACCGGATCTCGTCCCATTGCGCAGTCCCCGCGCTATTGATTGCGCCACTTCACAGGCGCATAACGTGGAGCCAAGCTGCGCGAGCGCACGCGCCGCCGTGCACACCTGCGGCTCCGGCGCCAGCGCCACCGGGGGAAAGTTGAAATCCAGCGCTGCCTCCGCGAGGCCGCTCATAGCACCGCGTCGCAAAATGATTGTACATCCAGTACTGCAAGGGCGCACTTGACCTTGGGATAACCGCACGCCTCTCCATGCAAGGTTTTGAGAATGCTTCTCGCAGCGCGGAATTGCCCGCGGGGGCCGCGCCCCCGTGGGCAGCTTCCTCAGCTGCCCATGGCTTGACGTGACTCTCTCTGATCAATGACCAAATTCGGCACGTCATACATGATAATCCTATCGATATGTTGCTCGCGCTTTCTTCGGCGGGAGCCTGCCCATGGCTTTGAGCAGTTGCCAAGGCCATGTGAACTCCTGTGCGATATGATTGAAGATGTCGATGAACTCCGGCCTTCCGTCAACTGTTAACCGCTGTTCATCTAAAGCCACCAAGCTATCAGCGCCCAGCCCTGCTTTCGGTTTCGTCCGCTTGAGAGCCTGGCCCAACTCTGGCACTTAGATGTCTGGCAACCGTCCAACCTCGACTTCTATTCGAATGCGTCGGAACAGCTTGATGACTTTGCCTCTGTCCACCAGGGCTGGTGACCATAATTGTTGAAAAACTGTCGTGCCTTGTGATCGACCGCGTCCACAATATGTGTCAACATGTTGACCGGCTAACATTTCGGTGTTCGGCTCTGGAGCGCCCGTGAGACTCCGAGATAAATTGCTCGTGCCTGCGCTGGTGTTGACCTAATCTCGGAATGCTTGCAAGGACTGAACTAGGGCCCTTCCCCTGGCCCGACTGGCCAGTCTTGCCGCTGACTCGACCAACCGCTGCGGCATTGCAACTGGAGCCTTTGATCTACATGCCAATCCTTATCTGCATGCCAATCCTTGCTGCCATGTGTCCCATGTCGGGTCAGTGTCTCTCAAAATCGCGTGGGCCCCTTCTGGGAAATCGGGGCTGAGTCTCCAGCGTGCCTGTGCCAACTCCACTTTCTGTTTTTTTTTTGACGTTGTCCTTTATTCGATAGTTGTGCACTGTTCCACAACGGCGTGCACTTGCTGCCGCCAGTTCGTGATCCGATCTCGAAGGGGAGAATGGCGCACCTTGTCCGGCTGGCGCACGCACCTGAGGGTCAGAGTAGGGCCTGCTGCGCGACCGCGAGACTGGACGCCTCGCTAGTTGATCTGACCGCTATGATGATCCAAAATATTTTTTCGCTGTGGCCCAGCATGCAAGGCGCGAAGAAACTCCAATCACTCTTGGGCCACCGGCCGAAACGGCCACGGACCGACGAATGGGCTGCCACACTTCATTGGGAGCGCGCTCCACATCTCCGATCTGCCGACGGTGCTCGCCCAACTCTCTGTCGGGATGTGCGACTCTGGCGTGCGCCCCTGACCAGCCGCGCCTTCGGAATTGGTGCTGAACGCTGCCCATGTGCTGGGGGTGGATGGTGGGCGCTATTTCCGTGCTCCGTTTGCGATGCGGCTCGGAGGCCAGACGCCGACTCCTCATTTTGAGGAGGAGGGGGGATGGAGGAGGCAGGGTGGCGACCTCGGGGCTCTCAAGCAGTCGGGGCTGCAAACTCGATTCATCTGCCCGCGGGTCTTCCCCATCCTTTTCGGGGTATGAAATTTCGTCGGGACCTGTCTCGACGCCTCCAGCCCAGGAAGCAGAGGCCGCCGCAGCAGCCGCCGCAGGCGCCGACTCTTGGGCGTCAGCTTGGCTCGCTTCTTGAACGGCGCTTCATAAAATTTGATCCTGCGCTCCTTTGCTTCGCTCCGTGCAACCTGCGCCCGTTCCTTGGCTGAGGGCGCCTTGGGGCCAGGAGTGGGAAGTGAACCAGGCCTGCAAACTTGCGGGGGCTGAGCGGGGACCTCCAGCGCCCTGCGCAACATCTGCTTGCCTGCGGCTCGCCGGGTCAACTTGAGGACTACATGGGTCTTCCAGGGCGCCGTGAGCTCCGATTCAAGCGCGGCCATGTATGGGGGGGGGGAACTCTCACTCGCCACGACATACATCGACGAGCGATCCTGCAGCACTGGCGCTGCAACTGGTGGTGACCGAGCTTGTAATGACTGCCCCACCTACTCTGCGCAATAAATCTGACTTCGCCGTGATTTGCGCAGGCGCGTTGAAATCGCCTACGATTAGCCATGGGAGACGCAGTGAACTGACGCGGGCCCCTAGACAAAGATACCTGCTCAAGTTTGCGCCTGACAGACCGGTGCCTGAGAGACCGTAAACGAGAATTGTTACAATACGAAAGCCGTGCAAGTGAGCAAGTGATGCTACAGATCCGTTGTAGGCCTCGCGGCGAGGTTTAGCCTGCATATATGCGCGCTGTGCCTCAGCGAGAGGATGCACTTCGCGATGCCCCGCCGTCAGCAACCATTCGCCGCCCTCGTTGGCGAGGTGTGCTTGGGGCGAGTCTGCTTCGGCATTGCCTGTTGGCCTGGCAGCGTCGGCGATGCGCTCCGTGCCCGGCTTGCGAGACTCACTGCGCCACTTCGAAAGGGTGTCGCTGCCAACGTGGGTTTCAACAAAAGCGAATGATGTGCCTGCCGATTAGCAACTAGATAGTTCCACGCCGTACCGCCCGCGACGGTGACGTTGGCGAAGGCGAAGGTTGGGCCTGCGCTCCCCTCGAGCAGCTGGGCCCTGAAATTGTCGCCGTAGCCGTAGACGTGTCGCCAGGCCGAGAGGTGAGACTGAAGGGCGCTTCAAGAATGAGCTCGTCCAGAACCAAAGTGACTGGGGCACTAGAAGCAGCGTCGGCCCCCTGTGGAAGCGCAGAAGCACAACTTGTTGAAATCGCTGCTGCCTCTGGCCGCCTTCGTGAGTCTCGCGCCGTCGCCGCGCCCGCGGCTGCGCGGGCCTTGGCGCCTGCCCCCGCTGCCGTTGTCGGCGCGTCGGCCTCCGCGCGCTTCGCCTGCAACTCGGCGAACTTGCGCGTCGACTGGGCCTCGGCCGCGGCCTTGGCGTCGGCAGCAGGAGCGGGCGGCGGCGGCGCCTCGGCGGCGGGGGCCGCGGCGCTGGCCGCGCGGGCGGGGCCTGCGCCGTTGCCGCCCCCTGCCAAAGGGGGCGATGCTTGTCCTTCTGCCTGCTGTTTCCGCTTCTTGGCCACTCTCTCCGTGGCCTGGCGTGTAGCTGCCGCGCCTTCTCTAGGCGCTCCTTGATCACCGTGCCGCGCTCGGCGAACTGGGCCTTGTAGCCCTTCAACTTCTCTGCTATCTTGACCGGTCGTCCTTCTCAACTTGTTTGACGCCTTCACGATCATTAACGTCCGCGAACAAAGTCTCATCCCACTGCAGATCGAAGACGGCGCCGTTTGCCCCTGCCTCAGAGCCTTTGGCCGCGGCGTTTCCTCCTCCTGCAGAGCCCGACACCTGCTACGAAAACGCCTTCGCCGGCGCCTTGCGGGCCTGCTCGGCCTGTGCAAAGACGATGGCCGCGCTCTGCTCACGCTCCTCGGCCCTGGCGAGGTTCTCGCGGCACCTCAGGACCATGGACACGGCCTGCTCGCGCTTCAGGCTGGCATCTCGCCGAGCCCCTGAAGTACGCTTGGCCTATTCCTCGGCGGAGATGGGCAGGGTGGTCTGCGCCTGCAACGCCTGAGCAGCTGCGGCGGCGACCTGTTGAGGCGCCACCCCCGCTGCAAGAGAGGCGATGAGGGTCTGGAACAGCTTGAACTTCCTTGCTGCCACCGCCGCCTGCCGAGATGCCTGACTGCAGCAACACGCTGCCGTCCTGACGTTTGTCCTTCGGGCTGCCCTTGTCGCCCTTGCCCTTGGCCTTGTGCAGCTCCACGGATACACCGCACTTGTTGTATCGACCCTGGCGAGCGGCGATCTTCTCATTCCAATCCCAGGTCTTACACTTCTGGCGAGTATTCCATTTGCTTGTCTGAACAGGTATGACTAGTTTGCACAGCTTAGCCACTGCACTGGCTAATTGCTCAACAATCGCTGGCGCAGTGCCACTCAAACACCGCGGTGAGGTGCTACGCTGGACTCAGGGCTGCCAATATGGAAGATCTGAGCCCAAATTGCTTGAGTGGCGGAGGAGGAGGAGGAGGAAGAGGAAGAGAAGGGGGAAGGAGAACGAGGGGGAGGGGAATGGGGCCACATTTTGAAGACGACCCGCTCTCTATCCTTGGTGACTGGCGGAAGCGTGTAGAACGAATGCGCGTGGCGCTGAGGCGAGAGCCACATGTTTTACGCGGCATACCATCGATCCCTGTGGAACGCGTAAAACGTTTGAAACGAATGTGTGCGGCGCCAGGGCGAAAGCAACATTTTGAATGCCGCCTGGCCTCCATCAGTAGAGCTGTTAATAGTTTCGGAGTCATAGGTGGCACGGGGATATCAAGCGAACTGCTCGAACCGCCCTACCGACACGCCTTGTGTTTTGACGAGGGGGAATCCGTTGAGTTAGAAGGAAAAGGGATGGCATCCCACGGTCGTCAGGTGGGTTCTGAAGGGGGTTGGGGGGCGTCTGGTGTTTGATACGTTCTGAGGGGCTTCTAGGGGGATGCTCGGGGTCCGCCTGCTCGTCCTCTTTCTCCTGCTCCTCTCAAGCACTCACGGCTCAATTTTGTTGCTGAGCCTGCCTCTGGGTCATCCTGTGGCGCACGAGGCTTCGACGTTCCAGCGAACGCGGGCCAACACAGAACCACTTACACGCATGATCAATGCTCTCCCAGTGTTCCTTGCAGCATCGCCAGCAGGGCCTCTTGGCATGCTCCTTGAAGCTCTACATGGTCCTCTGGATCGCCAGTGTCGTCACAGGTCGGCTCGATTTGCCAATTGGCGCTGCGGTGGTTGCGGAGGCGCAAAGAACTTGCCCCACTTCTGTCTCTGCAAGCAGTGGGAATACCTTCGCCGTGACGGGCTGGCCCGCGCTCGTCTAGACCACAGCCTGCCCCTTTGCCCCTCCCCGTCGGGCGCATGGATGGCGGTGGCGAGTCCATCGTGGTGGGCGAGCATGAACAGCACACTCACGGCAAGCTCGAGAAGTTGGCGGCCCTCGGCGAAACGCGGGTGGCAACGCTTCAAAGGCTGCTGCTCTCCAAGGCTGGCTGGACGAACGGCGCGCCCACCCCCTCCTCGGGTGTCGCTGCAGGCCCGGGCCTATGAGGGCTTCTGCTTCGAGGCCTGGAGGGCAGGCATCAGCCCGCCGTCCAGGCGCCTCGCGGCGCTCGGATTGCCGGAGCCGAGCCCCGAGCCCTCGAGCTCCTCGGCCGCGAGGCGGTTGAAGGCCTGCTCGAGCGTGCCTTGCGAGAGCTGGAAGTCCGCGAGCCTCAGGGCCCTTCGGCGCTCGCCGAGCAGCGCGAACAGCTCGGCGTAGGGCATCGGGCCGCCGCCGAGGCAGCTGCCCACGAGCTGGTACCTCAGTGACCCGCCCGCGGCCTCCACGCGGCTGGCTCGGCCGACGCGGCCGCAGCGCTCCTCCAGGAAGGCGTCTACTGCCATCGCCCGCTCCTGCAGGAGGCACCACTCCGCCAGCGCTCCGAGCAGGATGGCGCTGCCACCGCGGGTCGGGGGCGCGCAGGCCGCCGCCACGCGCTGCTCTACGAGGCGCAGGGCGTCTGGGCTGGGGCACTCTGTGTCCGGGGCGCCGTTCCACTCTGCGCAGAGGTGCTCCACGTCGGCGCGGCGTGGCGCCTCCAAGCGAACTTTGAGCTCCAGCCCCGAGCCATACCGCTGCTTCAGCTCTTGCGGGGAGCCTAGGCAGCGAAGCTGGCCGAGGCACTGGATGGCGATGCGCGAGCACAGGGCGTCCGCCTCGTCCATGGAGTGTGTAGTCAAGATGACGGCGCTGGTCGGCCGCCGCTGCGCGATGGATCGGATCACGTCCCACATGAAGTGCCGCGCCACGGGGTCCATGCCCGCAGAGGGCTCGTCGAGGAATACAATCTCAGGTTCTCCGATAGTCGACAGCGCGAAAGACAACTTGCGCTTGCTGCCGCCGCTCAATTGGCCAGCGCGGGAATGCTCGAAGCCAGCCAGGTCGACAGTGGCCAATTTCTGCCTCACTTCGGCGTCCATGCCCGGGCCCTCGAAGCCCTTTACCTGGGCGTAGAGCTCCAAATGCTCCCGCGCCGTCAGAAGGTCGAGAAGCGCATCGAACTGCGGGCAGTAGCCGATGAGCCTTCTCGCCCCGGCAGCATCGTCTGCCATGCGTCTGCCCCGAATGAACACCTGGCCTGCCGAGGGCGCAATCTGACCGCACAGTATCCTGAAGGTGGTCGTCTTGCCCGCCCCGTTCACCTCGGTGCACGCAGGAGCGCCCCTAGGCAAGAGTGACCTTTGGTGCACGGCGTTCGGGGGCCGCAGGGTGAGACCAAATCAACGCAGTCCAAGCGCGCCTGTCAGTGCTGAGCGCTGGCGGGACCCCTGTGGGCCCGCACCAAAAGTCACCACGGCGAAGAGACACTCTTGCGCGTAGCCGATCACCCCGAGCAGCCCGAACACCTCCCCCTCGCCCACGGCGTACGTGATGCCCCGCACAGCGTGCACGCCGCCCCTGTTTGGCGGCGCGCAGAGGGGTGCAGGGGGAGGGGGGAAGGCTTCTTAGGGGGAGGCTGCTTCTTAGAAGGCTCCAGCCCTGTATCTGTAGACAAGGCCCGCGCCTTCTGAGGAGCAGGGTGCTTCTAAGAGGCCTGCCCGCCTCCCCCCCGCCCCCTTCTGCGCGTGGCCGACCTGTAGGCTTTGTAGATGTCGTTGACGACGAGCACCTGCGACGCCGGGTCCAGGCCTGCGACCCGCGCCCGCTCGGCGCAGACGTCCTCGCCCTCGGCGCGCTGCAGGCTCGAAGGGCACCTCGGGTCCCGAAAGAAGGGCAGCCTCTGCAGCCACCGTCCGAGGCCTCCAATCTCGATCACATAGACCAGGGCTGCGTACAGCAGCATGTCGAAAACCAGCATGATGCAGTCGTCCCCGGCATTGGCCACGCACGGCAAGCTCCCACGGACGGGCGAGCAGAACTCGGTGTGTGTCAGGAAGCCGGCAAAAGGGCTGATGCCCATTGCCTTGGAGATGTCCCGGAACATTGCTAGGTGCATCAGGCCGTGCCCAACGCAGGCTGAAGGCAACACTGCCTCTATGATCCAGAGCGCGCCGTAGCCGTAGACACGGGTGCGTGGGAAGAGCGAGAGAGTCTCGGAGACGTTGATGCCAAATGTGCCGAGGAACAGGCCCAGCATGAGAACACCTGCAACTGCGTTCCCAGACGTGTTGAAGAAATGCGACCAGAAATACGCGAAGAGCGAGACCGCGGGGGTAAACAGTGTCAGCAAGGCCACCGTGGCACCGATGTTGGGGAAGCTGCACCACTCACGGACTCCGAAGATGGCCATCACAAGCATCGTGCTCACGAAGGCGAAGAGGCCAAACACGCAGTCAAAGCTCAAGTTCGAGGCCCAGTAGGCCAGCGGGCTCGCACCAGAGATCATCAATTGCTGCTTCACCTCAACTTCCTTCTCCATCGTCACGTACGCCGCGATGCCTGTCGCGATGAAGGAATACGCGGCGAAGACGACCATCCCCATGGCAAAACCGCTGATGCCCGCGATGACGCCCCGCTCCTGCCAGCATGAAGCAAACGAGTTCTGAGGGAGGCGGGTCCTGGACGCCGGGGCCCTACCCCAGGACAGGCTCCTCATCCTGAGTCGCTTCTTGTTCACGGCTCTGGGGCCTGTGGAGGGCCCCTGCCTGGAGCCCGCAAGCGGCGAAAACACTCCAGGGCCCGTTTCCCTGAGGCGCCCCCTTTACTTCATGGCGATCCTGGGCGGTGGCTGGAAGCGGCTGGCCAGATACCTCGAGGCGGAGAGGCGCACCACCCTCTGCCTGCAGCACCGCCCGGAAGTGCAGGTCGAGCAGCGCGGGGCCGGCAAAGTGCGACGTCGTGTTCGGGAAGAAGGTGACGCGGTCCTCGGCGTACATGACCCCACCCAGCTGCGAGTTCCGAAGAAGAGAAATCCACATAAGCATCAACTTCTGGAGGTTCGCGTAGAATTTTTTCATCGGCGCTGGATCCCCCCTGGCGGCTCTTCAGGCGCCACCCCTGGCGGCCCCGCGCGCAAGGGAGGGGGACCCAACGCCGATCCGAGAAATCGCGCGGGCCTCCGAAACTTTATGTTACATGCCAGTGTTTCTTCTTCGAGAGTTCCCGCTGCCGTCGTGGCGGAAGGCAAACGCGTAGTCGGCGAAAGCGATCTCCTCACTGTTCCTCTGATGATCCAAAATGACACCCCCAACCCCGACGTCGTCATCCGCGGGGATCCCTGGCAGGCGGGGTGCAAGGACACGGGGTGGGGCTGAGATTCCGGCCACTTTCCAGGCTGCCGCTCGAGCGTCCGCTCCCCAAAAATCTCACCCTCAGTCGCGGAACCCATTCGACAAATCTGCCCCACCCCCGGAGAAGGGAGGAGGAGGATGAGGAGGAGGAGGAGGAGGAGGAGGAAGGAGGAGGAGGAGGAGGTAGGAGGTAGGAGGTAGGATGGAGGAGGAGGAGGAGGAGGAGGCGGAGGAGGAGGAGGAGGAGGAGAAGGAGGAGGAGGAGGAGGAGGAGGGAGGAGGAGGAGGAGGAGGAAGAGAGGAGGAGAGAAGGAGGAGAGGAGGAGGAGGAGGAGGAGGGAAGACGAGGAGGAGGAGGAGGAGGAGGAGGAAGAGGAGGAGGAGGAGGAGAGGAGCAGGAGGAAGAGGAGGAGGAAAAGGAGGAGGAGGAGGAGGAGGAGGAGGAGGAGGAGAAGGCGGAGGAGGAGAAGGAGGACGAGGAAGAGGAGGAGGAGGAAGAGAAGGAGGAGGGATGATGAAGGAAAAAGAAAGTGGGGGTGTCACGTTGGGTTGCGGTCCTCTGCCCGTTCACGAAGTCGCCCTGCACGGGCGGAGGGCACAGGGACAAGTTCACCCTGACGTCGCACAGCTCGCCCAGCTCTGGGCTCGACGCCCACGCGCGCGCCAACGCCTGGCTCCGCTGGCTCCCGTCGGAACCCGGGGACACCCCGACCGAAACCAGCGCGCGGCGCCCGCCGTCCGAGCTGGCCACGCCAACCCGAACGCGCTCGTAGCGGCCCATGTCGCCCATGCCCGCCCTCGAGACCGTGAGGAAGACCACCATGATGCCGGTCGGCATGAGCAGCTGGCAGCAAAACGTGCGGGAGTCACGGCGGCCGTAGCGCACGCGGCGCTGGAAGAGGCCGAGGAACTGCCGCCTGAAGCTCACGCCCGCGCGGGCGTGGAACGGGTCATCCCTGCGGGGCCCGGCGGGCGCGGCCGACCGCGCTGCTGGCCTGCCCCGCGGGATGGCGCCCGCTCTGGGGCGCGCGGCCTCGCCGTTGGCCACCCTCAGGAAGACGTCCTCCAGGTCCGAGACTCCGACGCCGTACGACTCAGCGCCCAGTTCCCTAAGCCGCCTTTGGAGGCCACCGATGGTGCACCTGCGCCGATCCTGGCCAGGATCATTCTAGGCCCAATTTCGGTCAATGCGTTCTCCTAGCGTGGGCAAGCAAGCACACACACACACACGCATTTGTTGTAAGTCGGCGGCACAGAGGAACTGCAGGCGCGGTTGGCAGACGGAGGTGCCAATCGCGAGCGAACTTAGTCGAACGCGCCGTGACGAAACAATCTAGCAACGGCCATGCATATTGGTGGTGGTGAAGAAAAAATGAGGCACGCTGGGCGGCCAACTACGGGAGCTTAGCATGTGTACGGAGGCACTGGCCCTTGAGCCCCCCAGGGGGAGGAACACCCCAAGGAGACGGACAAACACACACAACAGACACAGACACAGACACAAGCACAGACAAACACACACAGACACACAAACACACAGACACACAGACACACAGGCACACAGACACGCGCACACGCACACGCACAAACGCACACACGCACACACGCACACACGCACACACGCACACACGCACACACGCACACTCGCACACTCGCACACACACACACACGCACACGCACACATGCACACACGCACACTTTTTGATCAGCGGGGCGAGAGCGAACCTCTTCCACTAAAAGCTAGGCGGGCTACGCACAGCTTTAATTAGGGAGACAGGGCACAGGAAGGCGGGGCCTCGAGCGGCCGGAGCGGGCGGGGCCATGCACACACGCACACGCACACGCACACGCACACGCACACGCACACACACAGACACACAGACACAGACACACAGACACACAGACACACACAGAGACACACAGACACACACAGAGACACACAGAGACACACAGAGACACACAGAGACACACAGAGACACACAGAGACAGACAGAGACACACAGACAGAGACAGACAGAGACAGACAGAGACAGACAGAGACAGACAGAGACAGACAGAGACAGACAGAGACAGACAGAGACAGACAGAGACAGACAGAGACAGACAGAGACAGACAGAGACAGACAGAGACAGACAGAGACACACAGAGACATACAGAGACACACAGAGACACACAGAGACACACAGAGACACACAGAGACACACACACACACCAGGATCGGCCTGGCCAGGATCGGTGTAGGTGTACAGTTGGCGCCCTCCGACGCCTGTCCAGCTCCCTCATCATCCCAGGGAATGCGGGGGCGCCAGCGAAGGGAACCTGTACCCGCAACTCACGCCCGGCAGAGGCCGCGGTCCGGACGCCCTCGCCGCAGTGCGCCGTCACTAGCGACACAATCGGGCCGTCTGGCACGGACTCGCCCACCTTCACGAAGGTGAGCAGGTACCCACAGCCCAGCCGCTGCTTGAGGAAAGCGCTTGTGCCGCAGCACGCGGCGCGGCCGTGCACCATGATGCAGACGCGGTCCCCGAGCTCGTCCGCCTCGTCCATGTGGTGCGTCGTCAGGCACAGGACGCGCCCCGCCCGGTTTTGCTTCAGCACCGCCCACAGCTGCCGCCGCGTGTGCGGGTCCATGCCGGCGGTCGGCTCGTCGAGGATGACGACCCTGGAGTCGCCCAGCAGCGCCAGCGCGACGCTCAGCTTGCGCTTCATGCCCCCGGAGAGATGGCAGGCCTGGGCGTGCCTCTTGTGCAAGAGCTCCACCTGTGCTAGGGTGCGGCCGCTGGCCGCGCGAACGGACCGCCTCGACCGGCCCATGAGGGCCCCGAAGAGCTGCGCGTGCTCCTCCACGGTCAGGCCGTCCCACAGGACGTTCTGCTGCATGCAGAAGCTCATCTCCTGCCGGATCGCCGGCAGCTCTGCGGGCATGCGCCTGCCGAAGACCTGCACGCTCCCCGCCGTCGGCGCGAGCACTCCGGTCAGGCACGCCATGGTGGTGGTCTTGCCCGCCCCGTTGTGGCCGAGCAGGCAGAAGCACTCGCCCGCGTACATGGTCAGGCTCAGGCCGTTGACGGCGCGGACGGTGCGGCCCGCGGCGTCGAGGAAGGCCTTCCGGAGGCCGCGGGCGGTGACCACCTGGCCGCTGCCGCGCAGCTCCTGCAGCCTGGCGCTGTCCTCCTCCTCGAACAGCTCGCCTGTGGCCTCCGGGTCGCAGGGCAGCCGCGCCAGCTCCTCGTCCGGAGGGTCCTCGCGGCGCTCCTGGCCCCGCTGGAGGGGCGCTCCCCCGCGGCCGTCGCGGCCACAGACCTCGCGCCAGAAAGATCTCGTGAGCGGGAAGTTGTACGGGCGTGTGGTGCCCACGCCGTGGGGGACCACCTGATCGAGGTAGGAGTAAGCGAGGCCCCACACTAGCAGGTCCGCAGAGAGCATCTTGAGCCCGCCAGCCACGGTGTAGTTCCCGACGCGATGCTGCAGACTCTGCCAGGTGCAGCCCTGGGGGGTGGAGTCCAGCGCAAAGAAGGCCTTGAGGCAGAGCACAAAAGCCACGTTGGGCAAGACGCTTGCCATGAGGAGGTGCGCCGATGCAGCAGAGGTGGCGTCTGTGCTCGACGGCGGGCTCCCATCGGAGCTCATGGCCGCCTGCCTGGTGTCTCTAACAAGTCCATGGCACAACAAGCCCATGCACTGGTATGCTCCGAAAGCCACCAGTGCCCCCAACCGCTCGGTCGATATAAGGGCAGAAACGGTAAGGCCGACCAGCGAACTGGCCAAGGCAGTCAGGAAAAAAATCAGAAAAACAATGAAGAACTCAGAATTGTCGACGAGAACAGACTGGACCAACAGCGAGCACCCCAGCGAGACCAGGGTACTCTGGAAAGCGTACAATAGCAGCCAGGAGAGCGCCAGCGAGCAGTCGCTCAGCCCCATGAGCCGCATCAACTCCTTCTGCTTGGAGTTCCTCTCCCTGATCGCGAGGTACGCCGCGAGCACGACGACCGCTGAGAAGGTGGCGGTGCAGACCTCCGCTGAAGCAACGGTGCTTGCCTGAGGGGCAACACTAGGGGGGACAGCTCAAGGCAGGAAACATCGACCTGGAGTCGGCGATACCTTGCCGATACATCGGTGATGGGCTCTCGATCGCAAAACACCACGCTCATGGGCGGGGTGGGCTTTATCGGCGCTCGTACGACGGGCATGATGTCATGATCGGATTGGCTCAGGGTACGTGCCAGGAGTTCTGGAGTACCTTGTGGCCCTCGTTTCTGCAGCCCGTGCAGAGCGTTCCGGGACATCTGGGACATCCTCGAAATCTTGGAGACCTTGGAACGCACCACTGTCATGACCTCCTGCCCCTCTGAGATCCAGGTGGGCGATTGGGGGCCGGCGCGCCCCACCCCTGAGCCTACACCCCCCTAGCTGGGGGGCAAGCCATGGCATAAACAGCACAGGGATCGCCCTTAGCAGTGTGTTTCGTGTTCGTGTTGTGCCCGTTTTCCCTCGTTTTGGCTTCAATCCGCCTTTGCTGCAGGACGAAATAGAAGCATCCACGGCCCTACGAAATCGCCCAAACACTCTGCAGGTCGTCCCCTGAAACAGGACAAGTCCGAGGTCCGCGCAGATTTCCCAGATCGGCGCTGGACCCTCCTCCCTGGCGCGCGGAGCTCGCCAGGGGCGGCCCCAGAGGCGCCGCCAGGGGGGCCCCAGCGCCGATTGAAATTCACACGGACCTTCAAAGTTTATTCACAAAGCAGTGCTTGCACTTGCTTGGGGGTTCTTGCACTTAGGGGTTCTTGCTTCTTTTGTGAGGAACTGGGCCGGTTGGCCAGTCTGGCGGCTCCGTGCCTGCCGTCGCCGCCCCGTCGCCGCTTCGTCGCCGCCCGTCGTCTGGGCCTGTTGGCCGGTATGGCGGCTCCGTGCCGGCCGTCGCCGCCTCGTCGCTGCCTCGTCGCCGCCCGTCGCCGACGCTGGATTGCACTGCGTAGATTGCACGACCAAAAAACGCGCTTGAGGCGTTTTCTTTTTCTTTTTGTTTATTTACCGCTCTCAACATAGGTTGCTATTGCACAACGCAGATTGCACCAGAAATATTGCACAACACATGTTGTGCAATCACATCTGTTGCACCGCTTATATATTGCACAACATTCATTGCACACCGTACCTTGCAACACATGAATTGCACAAGCGAGTCGATTGCACAACATGTACGGCACTCCATGGATTGACCACTTAGAATGCACCGCACATGTTGCACCACATAGGTGGCACTGCATACAATGCGCGGCATAGATAACACCACATAGGTTGCACAACACTCATTGCTAGACGCACGCTGTCTAACGGGTCTACGCTGGCTAACATGCCTGTGCCGTTGTTCCTTCCTCGGTTAACGTTGCCCCTGGTTGCCAGGCTCTGCTTCAGCTTGTCCAACCTGTAGCCGGCCGCGGGCAGCGGGACGAACACCGCCCTGGGCCCGCGGGGCCCCCTCCCGAGGCGCAGCTCGGCCACGAAGTCCTGCACCAGCTCCTGAATGGACAGGAAGCCCGACTGCAGATACCATCCGAGGGCCTGCTTCTGCATGCCCTTGTCGGATACTGTTACCCTGAGATCCTGGCGTCCCAATTTCTCGAGCCGGGCGTTTCCGTCCATATTCGGGTCCAGGGACCCTCACAGATCGATCCGGTTCGGAACATGGCGCAGAAAGATGGTGTCTAGGGCTCCTCACGATGTCGCACTTTTTTCGACACGTCGGATCCCAGGGTAGAAGTGATACTGGCCCAAAGTGTCCCCAGCTTTTCGCGCTATTTTGGAGCCCCTGGGGCCCACTGGACCTCGAGAGCGGCGCGCTGGATACCGCTGGAGCACTTGGGCGAAAGACACTCCTGCCAACAACCGACCTTTTGCTGCTCGGCCACCACCCTCTCGGCGACGGAGCCAGTGGCATCCACGCCCGTGACATTCGTGCGGATGGTGTACCTTCAGAGGAGGGCGAGTTGAGACAACGGTAGTTCGCCTTCGGGGGGGGTCGTCGCTGCCACATGCTGGACGCAGCTCGGAAAGCTGGTGCGTTTGGACACACGCAGGGGTCCCGGGACCAATCTGAACTGCCGTTGACTCAACTCACCCGGCTCCGACACCTGACAACGCCCACGGTGGAGGGGTCGTTCTGGAAGACGACCACTCCGCAGAGCCGGTCCATCTCCGCCTCGGGAGCCCGCGCACGGCTGACGGTGCCGTAGTTATACCGGCTCAGCATGCTCTCCACCTCTGCCTCGCTGCTGAACTCTCTGAAGAAGGTCCTCTTGTCGTTGGCGGGGCACTCCTGTGCCTGAACACCGTAGATGATCCGCAGCTGCCTCCACATTTCGCCACTCGCCATGTGCAGCTTGACAGCCTGGCGCCACCTCTCGTCCTGCGACGGGCGGCGGTTGTTCCAATCCAGATACGCCTGCCTCGAATGTTCAATGAATTTGCTGGCGCCTGGGCCCACAGCCCCAAGGGTGCGGCAGTAGCAGGCACCCTGCGGCAATACGCCGATCGGGTGCCACGGCGTAGTAATCGGGTCCTGCAATATGGAACGCCAGCCCGTGTCAGCGCCCTCGTCCGTGGGCTCCATGAAGAGCAGGTCCCTCAGCGATGCTCCAGTATGGTGCCACGCGGACGCGTCGCTGTAGTTCCTGCCGTACTCCACGGGGTGCTCCACGAGAAGCATCCTTCTCGCCCCTGTCGCTTGCATGGCAAAATTGGGCAGCACCGTGAGCAAGCCGATGAACATGATGGGCGACAGCATGCAGCAGCAGCCGTTACAGCAAGAGAAGCACATGGGCAGTTCCGCGCGCCAGGCGACCTTGGCGTTCTTCCAGCTCAGCGCGGCGATCTGTCTTCTCAGGAGCCTGGTGGCCGATGGGGCCAGCTCCCCCACAGCCCCACTGTACGCAGAATCCCCGTCCCAAAACTCGGTCAGGCAGGACGCCAATCCTCGGGGGCATCCAACAAGGGGGGCGTCCAAGAGGGGGGTTCGCAAATCGTGGCCTTAGGCATGTGCGTAGCCAATGGGGGGGGGACAGGGGACGTACTGAGTTAAGAAGAGGCGCCACGAAATCTGGGGGGATCTCATGGCCCTGGCCACGATATCCACAACCCCTAATTCGAGTAGGGGATTGACAACATAATCGATTTATCCCCAAATATAAATTCTCGTCGAGTCGATGAAGAATGCGTAGACTGTTCGTAGATCTACGTCGCATTTCACGCATTGTTCATGGACTCGGCGAGAAAATCAAGGTAGGGGTAAATTGATTCTGTCGTCGATCCCCGACTCGATAACCCCCCCTTGGTGGGGAACCAAGCTGTATACACCGACGCTTTTTCCGGCCCCGCACTGAAACTCGCACAGGCCAGCAAGCAGATCCTGGTGTATACGGATTCCAGGTGTATACATCTTTCGCCGCTCCCCCCGGAAAACGGAGGAGAAAGTACACACCACACCACCCCGACGTCGTCGGCCGGCCCTCAAAAGGTCCTGGGATTGAAAAACAGCCCGCCACCGGCGATGTACGCACACGCGTGCTCCAGCTTCCGACTTGGCCGCCCCCGACGTCCCGCCATGGCCACCAGCAGCACGGTGGCAGCCACCAGCAGCGGGCGGAGCCGCTGGGTGCCGAGGCCCTCGGGCGGCGCGGGGGCGCCGCCCGCCTCCGACGCGCCCGCGACGGCCTGCCGGCCCAGCGAGAGCGCGAGGGCCGGGAGGCGCGGCACGGGCACGGCCGGAGCGGCCTCCCCGCCCGACAGGTGCAGCGCACTCATGATGGCCGCATAGGCCTGCGGGCTACCTACCAGACCGCCCCAACCCAACCCGAAGACCAGAGTTTCGGGTTGGGGCGGGAGTAGGGGTTCCATAGGTGTTCTTTCAATGTTCCCCGACCCCCCCCCTGGAAATGGAGGGCAAATGAAGCATTCGGGTTGGGGTTGGAGTGGTTTGGTGGGTGGTGACCTGCGGGTGCTTATGCTTGACGTCGCCCTGCAGCTGCTTGAGCGCCTCGGCTCCGAGGTCCTGCGAGCCCGAGACCATCTTCTCGAGCTCGGCGACCTTGCGGGGACCAAGCTCGGCGGCGAGCGAGGGGGAGAACTGAGAAGGAGAAGGCCTTCTCAGAAGGCGGCGGGACTTCTCAGAAGCCCTCGCGCCTTCTGAGAAACTGTTAGTTTGTCGTCGGCGAAGGCTTAGGACACTTCTCAGAAAGACGGGGGACTCCCGAACCTTCTGAAAAAGGCCTTCTCCTTCTCACTTCCCCCCTCGCTCGCCGCCGACAAAAGGCACCGATAGCGGTAATCTCCGGACCTCTCCCGGGGAGCGTTCTGATCAGAGATTCGAGGCGAGCCCAGCCGTGGTGCGAGGGCCTCCTAGGAAGACCCTGGAAGACGAAGACGAGGCAAGGGTCGCGGATTGGGTGCCTTTCCTTGGCGGTTCAGAGACGGGGTCCTGAGGGCTGGGGTCCCAAGGATAATTGGGAAGGGATCCAGTGGCGGACTAGCATTGGTGGAGGCACCTCGTCCTTAGGACCCCATCCCTCAGGACCCCACCTTCGAACCACCGACTCTCCTCCCGTGCGACCTCCTCCGGCGACACCTTGCCCAGCAGGGCGGGCCCAAGCCAAGACAGCAGAGCGCCGGCGCCCACGCCGCCCCCGCCTCACTGGGGGGCGCGGCCAAGTCGACCCCCTGCGGTGTGACGAGCCGCTTGCGTGACGGGCCCCATCGCCTTCGAGGCTCCCCGTCCGGCCGCCTGCCCGCCGCTTGGCATGGCGGGGGGGGGGAGAACTGGGAAGGGGAGGGCCTTCTCAGAGCTCGGCGGGGCTTCTCAGAAGCCCTCGCGCCTTCCGAGCAGTGCTCGGTGCCATCAGAAGCCCCCGGGAGGCCCGAAGCCCTCCGAGCCTTCCGAGGAGGCCCGCCCCCTCTCACCTCCACGGCTGCACGCAAGAGTGACCCCTGGGCAAAGGTGACCTCTGGTGCGCGGCTTTTTGGGGGCCGCGGGGGGACCAACACACAAGCGCGCAAGACGCTACTTTCGCACCGCGCTCGGCGATCGGGGGACCCCAGTGGGCCCGCACCACAGGTCGCTCCGGCGAAGGGTCACTCTTAATTGCGTGTAGCCGTTCACTTTCCACCCCTGGCTCACCTCCAGTCAAAGCGAGGCCAGGGGGCCGTCGCGCAAGTGCGGACGCCCGAAATTGGTACGGAAAACATGGGTACAATGCCCAACAACACATGTTGCCCAAAAGCGACAGCGGCCGCTGTTGGGCAGGCGGCCTTGTGTCTTCAGTGAACAACGTCTGCGGCGGCGCGGACAGCGACTCTTGTGCAAAATGCACAAAGGCCTGCTGTGGGGCCTCGTACCCATGCCTTCCGTGCCCCTTTCGATCGTCCCGAGCAAGGGGTCGGTCTGCTGGGGGTCGGGTCGCCCCCGGCCTCCGCCGCCATCTCCGCCACCCTCGCGGGACAGGCTGGTCTGCACCAGCTGCGTGCCGCTGCCCGGCGGCCCTGCCGCAAGTCTGGGCGGCACGCCCCGCTCCGCGGCGTCGCGCGCGGCGCCTCCGACGCCCGCCGACACCACCGCCGCGAGGCATGCGGCCAGCAGCGAGGCCACTGGGCGAGGGGCGCCGGCATGGATCCCCATCGCGCCGCGAAGGGCGGGTTGAGAGGGGATGAGCAAGAGAGGGAACAGAAGTGTGCACGGCTCGGACCCCACATGGCCCCTGAGCCAGAGTACCTGCCTGCGGCCCAGACATTGTCGACGTGCGACTCAGAACACACAAGTGGCGCGTGCCCTGGTCCTTGCACTACGGGGCGGCGTGGGGCATGAGGAGCAGCGCGAGTCTTGAGACCATCGCGGGGCTTTCTTGCGGCCATATGGCTCTCTCCTGGAGCCTTCGCGGGCCATCTCAAGAAACTGGTGGAGGCCAACTTGTACGGCCTCGGAGCCGTCTGGGAGGATGGGGGGGATCAACATGTTTTGATTGAAGGCTCAATCTAATACAGTTCCATGAAATTGAGTCTGAAGGCTCAAAATAAAAACTTCACCACGCTGCGCGGCTGCCGCCTGAGTTTTCCCTGCAAGTTCAGTGCCCAACGGCCGCGTCCGCGGCTGCTTTTGTGATGGTTTTTCTGGCGCCAAGCTCATACTCTTTGAAAGCGAGGCATCCGCTCGAGCGCGGACTTGTTTCCCAATCCCAGCCGTTGAAGTCCCAACTGTGATGACAACAGCCTCACAGTACGTAGTCATCGTCGCATTCGTATTCGTCGCCATCATGATCGTCGTGGTCGTCGACGTCGCTTGAAGCCCCAACTGCGATGACAACGCCCTCCGCTCGATAATTCCTCACAATACGTAATCATCGTCGCATTCGTATTCGTCACCATCGTCGTCGTCGTCGCTCGGGAATTCGTTACCCGTGACCCCAGTCCTCCTGAAGTCCCGCTCTTCGACCGAAAAAGCTTCGTCGCCTCGCTGCGCTGTCACGTGGCGAGACAAGTAACATTGTTTTTGTTCGGTTACGAGGCGCTGCCATGTGGCGAATCCGCCGACCCTGTCGGCGTGTGGAATGGGTTGTTCTTCTCGTCCGTGCCTCCTTCCCTTTCCCACCTTCTCCTCCTCCTCCTCCTCCTCCTCCTCCTCCTCCTTCATCTCTTCCTCCTGCGTAAAGGTTTCCCCTTCCCTTTGTTCCCTTCCCCGGCCAGGGGGGGGGGGGCCGGGGGAAGCCCGGGGGGGTCCTGGGGGGGGTCCCAAGGGGGGTCCTGGGGGGGGTCCCGGGTCAGAATACCACCTCCCTCCTCCTCCTCCTCCTGAGCGTCTTTTGCCACCTTCTCCATCTCGTTTTCGTTTGTCTCCCCCTCCTCCTCCTCTCTTCCTCCTCCTCCTCCTCCTCCTCCTCCTCCCTCCTCCTCCTCCTCCTCCTCCTCCTCCTCCTCCTCCTCCTCCTCCTCCCTCCCTCCCTCCCTCCTCCCTCCCTCCCTCCCTCCCTCCCTCCCTCCCTCCCTCCCTCCCTCCTACTCCTTCTCCTACTCCTCCTCCTCCTCCTCCTCCTCCTCCTCCTCCTCCTCAAACACTTCCTCCGCCTACCCTGCCACGTTGTCCTTTAGCTCCTTCCTGTGATCACACATCCCGTCGCCATCGACGGCCAAAACCTTCAGGGTCGGCGGCACCGGCCGTAAGGCCTTCACAATAAGAATGAATGACCTTCTTTCCGCCCCCGTCCTTGCCACGTGACGAGTAGAGTAGAATAGTCTTTCATTCGCCCCAAAAGCGTTGCCACGTTGAGAGACGAGTGGGATATCCTTGCTTCCGTCGGCCAGGCGATGTCACGTGGAGAATAAAGTGGAATAGTTTGTTTCTCGCCCCACCACATGTCGAGTAGAGTGGAATACAGTGTTCTTGTTTCGCCCTTTGCGTTGCCACGTAGCGAGTGGCGGGTAGAGTACAATCGTTTTGTTTGGTCGCCCTCAAGGAGTTGCCAAGTGGCGAGTGAGAGTGTAATGGTGTTTTTGTCCCGCCCTCGACATTGCTACGTGGCGAATGAAACGGAATTGCATTCTCTTCGCCCCCAGGCATTGCCACGTGACGAGTAGAGCGGAATCGTATTCTTCTTCGCCCCCCAAGTGTTGCCCCGTTGGGAGTAGAGTGCGATAGGATGTGTGTTGCCCGCCAGGCATTGCCGCACGGCAAGTAGAGTGGATGTGCTTCTCTCCGCCCCGTGGCGCTGCCACGTCACAGCCCCCGAGGCGTCGCCACGTGGCGAGTGGCGAGTGCAATGGACGAGTTTCTCGGCCCCCGGGTGCTGCCACGTAACGAATCGAGTGGAATAGTGTTTGCGCCCGTCCCTCTGAGCTGCGTTGTCACGTGACGTGTAGAATCGCAGATTCCCCAAACGGTGCTCGCACTCATGAGTTCTTACTTCTGGAATAAGGAACTGGCCCCTGAATGGCGGTCTGGCGGCTATGTTGTCGCCGTACCCGCCCCGTCGCGGCCTCGTCGCCGCCCGACGTCTGGGCCTAAATGGCGGTCTGGCGGTTATGTTGTCGCCGTCGCCGCCGCGTCCCCACGCATCCCGTCGCCGCCCAAATTGCACAACACAGATAGCTCCACATAGATTGCATCACACAAATTGCAGCACATAGGTTGCACAACATGAACTGACTTCCCCCACAAAATAAAACCTGCCCCCAGGATTTGTCCGACCGGCCTCGCGTGTTGCAAATTACGTGCCAATATGTCCCATCGCTAATGTCCCATACGAGTTCATAGCATCCCAGCCAAGCCGGGCTCGATTCCCCCAATCTCATCCTTGTCAAATGATAGTATGTACGCGCACTCGTTTATCAAAAACCACACACTTTCAATAATCCTGTGCAGAGGCCAGCCAGACTTTTTTATTTTGAGAAAACCGCCGCGGCGCTGAAGCCGCCACATCAAAATCCTGCTCCACGAAGTGCACGACGGAGCGGGTTAAATAGTTGGAAAGTCTGCTCGAGCGCCCCTGGGCGGACGCGAACTACCGCTGCTTCACCTGGGGCCCGCCCATGGTGGTGTCAATGCGCTTGTCCATGAGGTCCCAGTTCACCTTCTCGAACATGGTGTCCACCTCAGAGCGCTTGGCAACCAACAGCGGGCGCTTGCCGTACGGTAGGGAGGTGTACAGCTGCACCGCCAGGCCGCCAGGGCTCATGTCTGCGGCCAGCCAGACCCAGCCCTTTCCGTCGTCTATCACCTTCTGGGTCTCGTCGCTCCCGGGGCCGCCCTTGACAACGTGCTTGCCCAACTTCATCTGCTCCTTGAGGCCCGCAATGCCGACGGCGATGTCCCTTTTGCCGATCCCCCCAGGGGGCGGGCCCTTCCACTGGCCGCTGTAGCGGGTGAACGTGCCCCTCTCGTCCCACACCCCGTGGAAGTGCTTGACGATGAGCTCCGCCGCGATCGTACCCTTCGGGGGGTCGCCGCCGTTGCCCGAAATCGTCTCGTCGTAGAACGCCTGGATGTCGGCATCGCTGACATCGTACTCGCCGCCGCCGCGCGCGGCGAGGGCCACCTGCCCCCCGCGTGATGGCCGCGGACACGGCAGGACGAGCCGAGGGCGCGGGCGCCATGAAGGCGCTCGGCAGGAGGTAGAGCCCGAGCGCGATGGCCAGGCAGGCTGGCAGCGCGGTGCCACGGAGGGGAGCCATAGCAGCACGCGGACGGGCCAACGGCGTCGAACGTGAGCGAAGGATTCTGAGCCCAAGGCCAGAGTCGCCTGAGCTAAAATAGCTCTCGAGCCAGTGGCTACAGAAGAAGCCAGCCAAACTTCTTCGACGATGACGAGGAGAGAGAAGACGAGGACCCCTAGGGTTAGGTGTGGTCTTGGACAACGATGGCGAAAACCAATGCTACTCCATCAAAAGGTTGCGATAGCGACGGTCGCGACGCGGACCATGAAAGCACGGGGCACGTCATCAAAGGTACTCGGGAGCGGTACCTCCAAGGGCGGAAGTCCACCATGACCCCGCCGCCGCTGCCACCACGCATAGTCACCAGGTCGCTTTCCCTCGCACCAGTGTGCGGGGACTGGCGACCGCCCTAACACCCAGGAGGGTGTAAGCACCGGAGGAACACCAATGCAGCGAAGGGATCCCGGGCACGCCCTCGCGCAGCACCTCATGGCTGCCAAGCAGCAGCCAGATCGGGAACGCGAAACGGTTCTCATCGCTAGCATCACGACGCTGCAACAGCGTGCCACAAACTTTGCGCAGACCCTTCTCCATCCAAAAACAGTCTAGTTAGCCCTCTGCTGGCTAGACTCCGACGAGCTCAGCCCGTCTGACACGACCTGCGACAAGCCTTCCGTCCGACCGCTTCTCTCGGGGTCACTCTCATGGGAAGCCTCCGGGCGCACCTCGAAGCCCATCGCTAGCACATCAGTGCTAGCTGGAAATCGTTCCGCGGCCTTCGCACTGGGCCGCTGCGGGGGATGCCCCAAGGTGGCGCCACGATTCACTGAGGTGCCCATGAGCGCAGGCACAAAGCAGGCTGGAAGCCGGCGCCCTTTTCTCAGGTGTGCTGACGAGGCGTGTCACGCCAGGATCACCACAGACCCATTTTTCAACAACTTTCGTCAGGGACCACTTAGTCCGCGCCAGCGGGAAGGGTGTTTTTTTCCCACCCCTGTTCGTTTCGCGGCATCTCTGGGCACCCACCAGCGGCGTTCCATATTCATACCCATCTGCCCTCCCGATAAACTCGGCGACTCCGAACCCTGGGATGCGCACGGGGGGGCTGGCGAGGACCTGGACAGAGCTATCCGCCGTAACCCGAGGAGGCACGACGAGGACAGTCTCGGCTACACACAAGAGCGACCCTGGGCAAGAGCGACATTTGGTGCGCGACTTTCGGGGGGGCGAGAGGGGGCCCAAACCAAGCGTGCAAGCCGCTGCTGTCGCAGGCTGTCGCATCGCATTCAGCGATCGGGGGGCCCTCTGGGGCCCGCACCAAAGGTCACTCCTGCGAAAGGTCACTCTTACGTGTAGCCGAGTGTCGTGCTCCACGGCAGTGCCGATCGCAGACCACACCCCGGCGTAATCAGACAATTTTCGCAGTCGCCGATAACCGCCGCACCGAGGCGGCGCGAGTCTGCCCCGGGCAGCTTCCCAGCGCGGGCCCTCGACCCCCGGAAGAGAACCAGCCACGAGCGCACCCACACCCCTAATGGGACGCAGAAGGACAGACAGTGGAAGCCCATGCCAAGAAACACCCTGCTTGCCTCCAGGCTGCCCTGGGTTTCTTGGATTTTGATGGCTCTACTATGGAAAGCGTGGCGTTCCCACATCAAAAAACCAATGGACATCCTGGGGTCTCAGGGTTGGGTTTCCTGTGGAAGATTTCTTGTGGTCGAGCTCCTACTGACTAGTACTATGTGTCTTGATTGGAGGCGTGCGTCCGACCCGAACATATAGTATAACCATCTTGCAGTATAACGCTTCCCGAGCGGTATGGCCAGAGAACGCCCACCACCGAGCATATACTGTAAGATTTCTCGGTGCGCGCGTCGCCCCTATTGGGGGCGACGCACACATAGCATTTGAATGTTGGGGTGACGCCGACCTAAGACTGACAAGCCAAGAGGAGATGACAATCTTGGGGATGAGACCTCATAGACCGAGGGAATCCTTCAGATCGGCATCGAGATCAGGTGATGCCACTCATAGTGAGACAGTCTTATCTTTGCCGGAAGAAAATCCATCAAGAACATGAGACCATCCGTCGGACAAAACAAACAGAGCATCCAAGGGTACTCTCCCAAGGATGCCAAGAACATCCAACAACCACGAAGAGCACTAGGGTACCCTTCCCGAACCGACCTCAATTTTGTACCTCGGTCGTGCTGTGGGTATGTGCTCCAGGCTGGTGGACGAAGAAGGCGGGAGGGGGATGCGGGGGCGGCGGCGGGCGGGAGGCGGACGTGTGCGGGCTCCTCGCGCTCGCCGCGGGGGTCGACGGGCTCGGCTCCGGAGCCTCCCCTCTCGGGTCCACCGACCGGCTGCGAGGCCTGCTGCCTGCTGCTGGCTGCTGCCTGCTGCTCTGGGATCATCTGGGGTGTTCCAGACAGGGCCTCGCCTTCGAGGATCGAAAGAATTGCTGTCTCTTCCGCGGAATTGCTGTCTCTTCCGCGGCGGAAGGCGGCGGAAGGTCGGCGGGCGTAAAACGAGGGCGGTTCCGCTGGCGGAAGACGGCGGAAACAAAGATCGGCCTCCCAAAGGATGGCAAGGTTTTGTTGGGTCGGGGTTTCCATAAGCTGCCATCTGAGCGGACAAACTTTGTGCGACCAAGGCGGAGACGCGGACCGCTGTTGGGACGCTGGTGCGGCAGCGGAGGAGGCGAGCACTGCAGTGGCTCGCCCCATCATGACAGCAACATGCCGCCAGTCGCGAAGCGGCGGCAGTGACAGCACTGGTTACTGCCTGTTGATGCTTCTGCCCGCTCCTGTTCCTGGCAAGAACAGGCTGAAGGAAGGACAGTCCGGCCAAAAGGGGAAAAATTGCCAAGATTGGAGTGAGGCCGCGACGTTGACATCAGACCCGCTCCTCATGCTGCCTGCTGCTGTCTGATGATGCTCCTCCCCGCTCTTCCTGGCGAGGCCAGGCTGAATGAAGACTCCCGCTCGAACAGCACAACTGACAATATGTCAGCGGGGACCGCCGAAAACTCACAGTTATTTGTGCCCGTTTCCGTTCTTCGAATGTCAGCGTCTCGCCTGCAAGCCTGCCGATTACCCCACACCCGCTGATTCTTGGCGGTCGGGCTCTGCCCCTCTCCTCCTCCGCGGCCGCACCCTCCTGCTGCAATTGCGCCCCGCGCCCAGCGCATCCCGCCGATACAGGCCTCCGCGCTTACGACCGCCGGCGCTGCCGAATAAGAAAACAAACCTGCGGCCCCCCCCGAGGGGGGCGGCGACGACGGCCGCCGCGGCCAGCCCTTCCCGGCGGAGCCGCTGTGGCGCGGCTCCCCGCAGACGGCGAAGCCGGCGGCATGGACCTGGTGTGTGGCCAAACGTCGTCGTCGTCGGTCGCTGGTCGTCGTCCGTCGTCCTCGGCGTCGTCGACAGCGTCGTCGACAGCGTCGTCGTGGTCCTTCCCTCGTCCTCGTCCTCGTCCTCGTCGTCGTCCCTTTCCTCCTCGTCACGTCCTTCTCCTCCCCCCTCCTCATCCTCTATCGGTGCTGCTGCTCCTCCTCCTCCCCCTCCTCCTCCTCCTCTTCACCACCATACAGGTCAAAAGGGCGGACCTGGCGTTTCGCTTATAGCTCCCTCACAACCTGTGACCCTCGAGCTGGAAATGTTCCAACAGCTGCGCGGATAAAAGGCGGGGCGCTGTCAACATGTAGCTTTGGTTTCCACGCAGGGCTCAAACTCATCGTAAAAACTTTGAACAAGTACGCGGATGGAAGGCGGATGGTTTCACAAACGTAATTCCCGCGCTAGTGCCGCGCCGCTCGCTTCACAAGCTTCCAACAATGGCACGGTCGGAGGGAGGGTGGTTTAAGAATGCGCCTCTCGCCTTCGCGCAACGCGCGCGCCTTAGCAATCTCAGAAGATAGTACGGACGTGGGGAAGGGGAAACCCCAAACATTTTGAATATAAGGCAAGCTGCCAGTAAGGCGGGCTTGTTCGACTCAGTTGACTCGATCGTTTTGTTTGATGGTCTTCGAGTGCCCATTCAGATCAACACTCCTATCAATTATCATCATCATCATCATCATCATCGTCATAGCCGTCCTCTGCATCATCACCAGCATCGTCATCTTCACTGTCATCGCCATCATCAACTCCTCTTCCTCGCACTACCGTCATCAATCCTCTTCGTCGTCGTCGTCAAAGGCCGTCAGAGGAGCGCCGACCTTCGGCGGAAGATGAGGGAAGGCACATGGCATGGCCTTGAGTTTCGTGTGAACCATCCGCAATTCATACTGTTCCAGCCAGGCCAGCTTCGCATTGGGCGCAATCGGTGACCACCACTCACAAGATCGGCCCGGATTGCTTCTGCCAGCACCGCCATCAGGTCAAGGAAACGCACTGGGATCTTGGTCAAATGCTGGGCAACGGCCCAGCTGACGACCCGGAACAAATCTACCGGGACAGAAGTCGCGTTGATCTCGCGTGCCCTCGCATTCTTAAGCGCGTCGGAGCGGATCGCGACGTCGATTTGCAGCCCGATGTCAACTGTTGCAGCTTCAGCGTGGCCATGTGCTGCTACATCAGCTGGGTCGAGAGCGTGCAAACGCTGTGGTCCAGTGCGCATCGCCCCCCCGCGTACAAGAGTAGAAGAACCCTGTCTCTTGCGCGAGGTTCATTTCTTATTCCCCGTCCATCCGCACTTGCACGGCGCAGGCCTCGAAAGGCGTCGCGGACGCATGCGGCGACCAGCAGCTGCCGTCTGCGTGCGGACCGTCGCCCCGTTGCCCTGGTTCATGACCTGGATCGACGTACGCGCGAACGCGTTGTCGGCGAACTCCTCTTCTAGGATGGGCCCCCCGCTGGCTTCGAAGAGGACCTTGGGGATTTTTTCCGGGGCGGCCGCCCCCCGCATTTTCTGCGCCAGCGGTTCCGGGCAAGGTCGTTGCGATCTCGCCGCCGCCCGCGCGATGGCCGCGAAACGCTTCGGCGGGATCGGATGCAAGTTCGCGTCGGAGTTCAGGCTGCGGCACTTCGGAAGGCGTTCTTCGTCCACGATGCCTGCAGGCTCAGATCCGAGGGCCTTTGCTGCCTCCCCCTTTCGGACGCGCGCGGAGAAAGCATGGCGCGACCCGGGGCGCTGCTCGGTCGAACTTTTCCAGCTGGGGCACTAGTGCGCATGCTGGAGCAAATCTGGGTCGCGGTTTGCCTCGCCCACGGTTCCGACGCCGATTCTGCCAGCGACCCCGCCCAGGCGGACCGCCCGGACAACGCTGGGCGGGCGCGGAAAAGACTGGACATCTGCAGCGGCCGCTGCAAAGCGCGTTGGGCTAGGTCGGCAAAGCCCCTGAGGCTGCCCGCGAGAGGCGCGGGGGGGGGGGGGGGCGCTCCGCCGCTGCAGTAGACGGGCGCGGGTTGGGCCCCCCGCCGCTGCAGCCGCCGTTCCATGCCGCGCGCCATAGAAAGGCATGGGCCCCTGCAGCGCGCCCCCCCCCCCCCCCATCCTGCGCGCGGAGGCCGCGGGGGCGCAGTGGTGGCGCCCGCGAGGCCCCTGCCAGAGGGCCCCCGCGCTGGCGAGAGGAAGAGCGGGCGGCCCACGCATAACTGCGCGGCCGCGCGCCCGAAAGGCCACGTGCCCCAGTTTTCTCGGCGGCGCCGGTTCCCTGCGCAGACGCCGGGGGGCCCGTCAGCGGGCGCGCGCGCGCGCCGAGATCACCGTCGCCCCTGCGCGGCCTCATCTGCAACGCAACGCTGGGATCCGCCATCTCGCGCGCGCCGAGGTCGGCCGCCCCCGCCCGATGGGAAGGGAAAGAGGGGGTGCGGGGGTGCGACGACGACCTCCAGGGCGGGGGCAACGACCGCCGACCTGGCGGTTCGAACGAGAATCCCGTTCGAAACAAGCGTTTCGAACAGGGGTCCAGTTCGAGCCGCGCTCGAACCGCCATGTTCGACCAAGAACCCTCGCTCGAACTCGGCGGTTCGAATTCGAACCGCGCTCGAATCGCCGAGTTCGAGCGCTCGAACGTCCGTCTTTGAGCGTCAGAAGTGCTCTATAGTGCTTCCGGGCTCCCTATCGCGCCTCGAAGGACGTCGGGATCTGGAACGCGAGCTCGACATCGCCCCCCGTAGCTGCCGCCCGCTCTGTCAACGTCTGTCTTGCAAAGCAACCGCGCAAAGTAGGCGCCCCTCGCGTCAATGTGTTTGCTGGCTCGAAACGGCATGTGCAATGCACTTTCCGCGCGTGAGTTCAAGCCCGTGGATCACAATATTCAAGACATGGTGCATGCCCCCTCTGTGAAGCGGGGCTTCCCATGTAGGAATTGGCGGACGTCAGCTTCGCAAGTGTCAGGCACAATGCCGATGCTGACCGTCGAGGTCCAGCGCCTCCGGGACACATGCAATCGAGCAGCCAGATGCATCAACTCTATGAAGAGGCCGACGTCGACGAGGCGAGCGGCGTTCGGGCGCGAGCCCACAGCGACGCGTCGCCGGACCTCCTCCGCAGCCACCTCCTCGACATTTACCCGCGCGGCGCCGCCGCCTAGTCTCGATGGCAACGACCCCCCCCTGGCTGACCTCGCGGATCTTCCCGCAGAAAACGTCGCCGCACGCGCCCGTGGCCCAGCTCCGCGCCCCAATCGGCGGCGCAAGGATGACGCCGGTCCTCGTTCTTATTCTGATATGTGGCTGCGCGCGAGTCAGCGATCGCATCGAGCTTCGTTGGAAGGAGCTCGGCAACTCTGGCGGCGTCCGCCGATGCAGCGCACCCATCCGCAGATTCCAAGCGACCCGCCCGCGGCGCCCGCCACTGGGGCAGCGGCGGGCGAAGCCGCTTCGGCGTCGAGCGCGGCTTTCATTGCAGCGTCGAGCGATTCATCGGGGGCTGGCTCCTCAGCTGTTTCAGCCTCCCGTTCCGCTGCGCTTTCTCAGCCCCCAGCGCCCCCGCCGGGTCGGCCGCTTTGGAGCTCCAGCGGTCGCCCCAGGCAATCCAATGACCGAAGCAGGTCTATTCCGGACCGCCTGGGGCCGCGAGATCTCTGCGCGGCGCTTCGACTTCTTTGCCACCTGCAGAATTGCGGACCTTCCTCCTGGAATCCTGGCCTTGGTCTCTGTCGCAGCGTCCTTCGGCTTCTTTCGGGCGGCCGCGCGCTGCGCGACCTCGCTCGTCAAGCGAATCGTCCGCGTTGCGAACTTCACTTTGTTCCGGTCGCGCCCGGGCATCGCCGTCGAGGCCCGCTGCGGCGGGCGCCGAAACTGCATGGCAGCGACCTGGGGCCGAGACAATTGTGGGCCCCTCCCCCGTCCTCCTCCGCCTGCGCCTCCTCGGGCCCCTCCGCCCTCTCCGCCCTCTCCCTCGCCCCCCCTCTCCGCGCGCCCCCGCCCCCTCGCCGCCATGCCGCGCGCTGCGAGGCCGATGGCCCAGGATGAGGGGCAGGGCGAGCGTCGCCTGGCCTCGGGGCGCAGCGGGGCGCCGCTCCTGCACGCATCCGCCGGGTAAAAAGCCCGCGCCTCACCGCGGCCATGCCCGGCCCGAGCTGCCCGCGCAACGCCGGGCGGCCGTCGCCGCGAGGTGGCCTGGCGTCGCCGCCAGCGCGCGGCACCTCCCTTGCAGCTGTCGCAGCGCCCCTGGCATTCCTTTTGGAAAGGAGGCCATTGCATGGCGCGTTCGTTGGAAGCCCGCGCCTCGCTGCAGCCCGCGGCGCCCGGGACCGCGGCGCGGCCGTCGCCAAAATCGAGACATTGAGCAGCTGCCCCAACAGACGCGGGCTAACCTTTACTTTGAACTCTCCCTCGGAACTGTCTCAACCGACACTCAATCCTTCCCCGTCTTGGGCGGGTCGGAAGCGGCCTCGGACGCGGCCTCGCAATCGGCCTCGGAGTCCGAGTCGGAGTCGGCCTGATCCTTGCTTCTAGCCTCGTCGTCGGCCTTCTTCGCGCTGCCCTTCTTCATTTCTTCTTCTTCTTCTTGGCCTCCTGCCCCTCCGTCAGGGCGGGATTTTTGCCCTCCTTCTTCCCTCCTGGCCCACTGCTGTCGCAGCCAGCGCCGAATTCGAATGCACCTGCGCCGCGCGGGCTACGAAGTCGTCGTTCGTGAATCTCATCGCGCAGCCTCCGATCATGGCCTCGACGGCCCGCTCCGCGGGAAACTTGTTCAAAAAGCCCTTGCGGTGCTCGGCGTAGCGCGAGGCCAGGGCGATGGGGCCCATCTCCGCGCGACCAGGTCCTCGATGAACTCGCGTCGCTGTCGCGGGGGAACCGCGGCGCCTCCGTGCCCGAAAGCTTATTCTAGTGCTTCTGCTAACTGATGGCTGCAATGGCGAAGGCCTCCTCTGGGCGTGACGCAGCTGTTGCAGCCTCATCGCCC